AGCTCGCTGAGGCGCGCATTGCACAACGCGCCCCGCACCCATGACTTGATGACGTTCTGCCGCGAGAAGCCTCGTTCACACTCCACTGTGCTAAGCGGCAGGACAGCGCACGCCTGCCACAAGCGCATCAGGTTGGGCCAGCGCCTGCCAAAAGGGTTGGGGGAACAGAGTGCAAAGAACAAGACCAGTGCATTAGTGCAACTAGTCAACAAGCGATAAACAACAACTTCCAATGGGAAGATTAGAACCGGCAAGAAAACATGCAACAAACGTCCTTCGAACAGCAGTCTCTCACAAGGTCGACTCCGTCGAGCCGAGGTAGTTCGTCAGGCCTTGATGGAATCCCTCGTCGGCATGGTGGCTCAGCATCAGTGGCGCCCACGTAACCAGCTCCTTCTGCGCAGCTTGCAAGGAAAAGCCTGTCAGCCTGTTGTCGAAAAATGCACTGCAGCCATGTAGGTACTCCTTCAGCTTCTTCTCTCTCTGCTGCTTCATCCGGGGCCACTTCGACACGCGGAAGAGCCTCGTCGGGGCGAGATTGTTCAGGTCCAGCATCCTCGTCTTCAGGAAGCTTATCGTGTCCTTCGCGAACTGCGCGCAGAGCCGCTCGCAATCGGGGTACTTGCTGCGGAAGGCATGCCCGTCGATCTGCTTCTCGTGCATGGTGTAGGTGTGCGTGACTGGGTTGCCGTCTTTGTCGATGCCCCGCACCTTTACGCGTTTGCTCCCTCCGCGCCCGTAGACGGCCAAGAAAGCCGAAAGCCACGTGCCTTCGACCCCCCCACCGAACACCTCTCCGCACTCCAGGTAGCGGTGGCGAAGGTCCCCTGTCGCCTCGTCGATGTCCTTCGTCACTTCGGTGACATCGACCTGGTGGAAGTGACAGACAAGGGAGTGGACTCAGAGGGTGATTCCAAACGTGCATGCATGGGAAAAAAAGTACAACATGCACAGTGCTAGAAGCTCACCTCCCTCTTCTGGAATTTGAGGTTGAGCTCATTCATTACTCCGAGCACGTCCGCCAGGAAAAAAAGACAAAACTGGAACTTGTAACAGATGACGACTTCATACAGCTCATGCCCGTACTCATGAAACAGAATAATAGCGGCGCCAAGGACCTTACAGAGGCGCCGCACAGCCTCACCCCTTGAAAGCCAGCGCACGGTGTGAATTCCTTGCACTTCAAGGTTGGTGTTGTGTATTGCCCGCTGCAGGTACTTGAAGCGTTGACTCCAGACACATGAACGTCCCAGAAGATCGGCCAGAGTTCGAATCACAAGGTCGACCACGTCGAAGTCTGGAGAAGCAGTGGCGGCGTCCTTCACCGCCAAGGCTTCCCTGCATGGTGCACACAAAGGAATTTTAGTCAAGCAGTTGTAGGAAACCTAAGCGACTGAAATGACAAGCGGTTAAACCTGTGCGCGATGCAGTGCGAAGAGACGAGACCATTGTCTCGGCCGACCATGACAGAGGCGCCGTCGGTGCTCATGCGGGTGATTCGGGAGAGGTCGATGCCAGTTGCTCGCAAGTGAGCCAGAAGAACGGCGAGGAGAGACGCGGCGTCGCACTTTTCGACGGTCAAGAGAGCAAAAAACTCTGTGACAATACGATGTGCATGCAAGAAGGTTAGATAAACAATCAAATGTTTACCGCGAGTACGGTCAGTGCTCTCGTCGCAGCTGATGCCAAGGTAGGGTGAGGCGAGAATGTGTTGCATTTGTCAAAGCTGCAAGTAGGATGCCAAGCTGTTGACGAGCCGACATAAGCCATACCTGTAGTAGCAGAAGTAGCAACATGGTGTTTGTTAGACCCATAAAAAAGTGAAGGATATGGTGTCGAGATGCTTTCTCCCGTCTCGGCCTCAACCTGGCCCTCCTGGGCACCCATTCTTTCCGCAAGGCGGCTACGAAAGTCGTCGTTGATGTTGGAGTCCCCGACCGCTGGCGAAGTGATACAGCCAAGGAGCTTTACATTACTCAGCTTGACCGCGAGCTTGTGGCTGCTTCTCACATGCTACAAGATCCTACTCGCTCGAGCGCGACCGATCGGTACCAGGCCACCCTCGAGTGCCACTGCCGACGACCTCCCACTTGATGTCTCGTTTGACCTATGACGACTGCACTGCACATTCCTCTGAGGTCATGTCACAATATGAGAAATTTTTTTGTAATAAAAAATTTACAGATTGTGATTCGACTAGAAGAGGAGTTTGCTGTAAAGGAGACAAAATCCTTCATCTATCAGCAGGTCCTTCAGACCTGCCACCTAGTCTCATTTGCATTTTTCTGTTCCAACTTGCCCACCCTTCCCTCCCATGCTTGCGGTCCGGCTAGTGCTGGTCCGGCTGGTGCTGGTCCAGCTGCGATACCTGCGGCCGCTGGGACGGCTGCTCGGCTGCACCAATTACGGTCCCCTCGTCCGCGCTACCACCGGGCGACCCGACTCCACCACCACCTCCACCTGCACCGCCACCCCTACCGCCGCGCCCAACCTTGGGGCGGCGACCCTTCCCCGGACGGAACTGCGCTGCAGCTGCGGTCTCAGCCACAGCAGCGGAACCGTCTGAGAAGGTGCACTGAGCGGGGGCACAACCTTGAAAGATAGGGACCGGCACAGTACTGCTGGTCTGGGCGATAGAGCGCTTGCGGGTCTCTATGGCAGACAGGGTGTTGACAAAGTTGGTGAGGGTGAGGTCACCGGGGTGGATGCTAAGAAAGCGATCGCGGGCAGTAGCAAGACGGCCAGGGAGGAGGGTGGCAAGCAGGTAGAGGGTAGAGCAGATGGGCGGCTAAAAGGCTCTAAGTTGGGTCTCAGTGCAGGCAGAGCGCCAGGTCGCGTCTATCGTGCGCAGGTGAGCGGCCAGGTCAGCAACAGTGGGGAAAGACGCAAGGTCAGGAAAGAGCATCGGCAGGATCAGGCGACCTACAGAGGCAGCGGGCAGGGTGGAATAGCACTTGACAACAGCATCTAGGAAATCCTGCACAGTCGTGACCGACCGAAAGCGGGGGCGCTCAGACAGGGGGAGGGCATGACTGATCGCAAGCTGCGCGACGGCTTCACGCGACAACCAGACTGATCGGGCAAGGGCAGCAACTGCAGCGGACTCACGGTCAGCGGACGAAGGGTCAGCGGGCCGGGCAGCAGGGGGGTCAGGGCAGGGAAGCGTACTGTCAAGGTGGACCGCCAGGGAGTGGCCATCCTGCCGCTGACCAGTGAGATGACGGCGGAGGTCGACCAGCCACGTGTCAAACTCGAGCAGCTGTCCCTCTGCGTCAAAGCGGAGCACGGAGTCCGCCATCAGGAGCGATGCTGCAGCTGTGCAGTGCAGTGCTGAGCAGTGTAGAGCGGTGCTGTGCTGTGCAGCGCGGTGCAGTGCGGTGCGGTGTGGTGCAGTGCGGTGCTGGGGCCGGCGGCGGGCCGGCTGACGAGGAACGGGCGCGGGGACGACAAGGAACGGGCGCGGGGCCGTCGAGGGGCGGGCGTGGGGCCAGCTAGGGACGGGCGCGAGGCCGGGTAGGAGTGGGCGCAGGGCCGACTAGGGACGGCCGCGGGGCCGACTAGGAGCGGGCGCAGGGCCGACAAGGGGCGGGCGCGAGGGGCCGGCTGGAACGGGCGCGAGGCCCGGCTAGAAACGGGCGCGGGGCCGACTAGGGGTGGGCGCGGGGCCGACAAGGGACGGGCACGGGGGCCGTCTGGATCGGGCGCGAGGGCCGGCTAAAAACGGGCGCGAGGGGCCGGCTGGAACGGGCGCGAGGCCCGGCTAGGAATGGGCGCGAGGGCCGGCTTGAACGGGCGCAGGGGCCGGCTGGAACAGGCGTGAGGGCCGGCTAGAAATGGGCGCTAGGGGCCGGCTGGAACGGGCGCGAGGCCCGGCTAGGAACGGGCGAGAGGGCCGGCTAGAACGGAAGCGGAGGCCGGCTGGAACGGGCGCGAGGGCCGACTAGGAACGGGCGCGAGGGGCCGGCTTGAACGGGCGCGAGGCCCGGCTAGGACGGGCGCGAGGGCCGGCGAGGAACGGGCACGAGAGCCGGCTAGAACGGGCGCGAGGGCCGGCTGGAACAGGCGCGAGGGCCGGCTAGGAACGCGGGCGGGGGCCGGCTAGGAACGGGCGCGGGGGGCCGACTAGGGGTGGCGCGGCTATGGGGAACGAGCGGCTAGGACCTAGGGCGGAAGCGTGGGTGGGCGGCGGGACCTACCTACTCGTGATACCATATCAGAATTGAATCATGATTGAGCATGAGACAGTACAAGGGAATATATGCAATTGTGTTGTGTAGTAATTTGACAGGTGTTGCAGAAGACTAAGCATGGAATCTGCAAGCACAAACACTTGGAAAACCTCAAGTGTTAGCCTAGGATCATTACTGGAATGGTAGACTAGTAAGACAGCGGAAGTCTTGTAAGAATGAACCTGAGTATATAATACTGTAGAAGTCTCAAAGTTGAAATCTCAAGGTTAACAATAGAAAAGGCATAACAAGGATTTATAGCTCTAGGAAAGTACCTATTCGCTAATGTACCTGTTCGTCACTATCGCGCTACGCGCCCTAAATGATAATGAAGAGTTGCGGCTGTTCGCGTGACTGAAACGACTGTCCTCATGACGAGCGCTATTTGCTGACGTCATCCTACGGACTTATATTCTACAGTAGGATTCGACACTATCTACCGATAATCGACTTACAGAAAGCTAAGTATGAATCATATCACAAGATGTACCGTAATCATCCGGATAGACACCCCTCCGTAGGATTAGTCCCATGGGCTCTAACTCGTGCATTGGGACTTATAAGCATTATTCGATTATACGCCCCTCCTCTCTGCTCCGGATCAAATCCCTATACGCCCCCCCCTCTTTTCAAACAGCATTTTAAGGAACTAGCCAAGATAGGCAAAATGCACTAGAAACATAATTTTTTAGACAATTAGAAATCATCCTATTCAAACCTAAACCTGGGATATGTAACACTTTCAGGCTAACATTGCTTATCGCACATTACACCTAGTACTACTCCTAGTCTACTCCTACTCCTCCTCCCCTTCCTCCTCATCCTCCTCATCCTCTTCATTCTCCTCATCCTCCTCCTCCTCATCCTCTGCAGCCTCACCCTCAAAACCTACCGAGTTGTCTCCAGAGAAGCCATCCGCCCCGACCTCGTCATCAACATCCACCTCTGCCTCTCGCTTGTTGCGCATGTGCTGGAGGGTCAGATAGTCTTCACTGCCGTCGAGCGAGTTGCTGATGCCACACGTCTTGAAAGCCCTCTGAATGAGGGCGGCAGGGATGGCCCTCCACGCCTTGGAGACCCACTTCAGGATCTCCTCCGGTGGAGGCTTCTTGAGGTTTCCTGCGCCAGCAAACATGAGTAACCACTCAGTTAGAACCATGTTTACAGAAAACAAACTGTTAAAAACAAGCCAGAAGATACTACCCTTAGCGGTCTTGGAATACATCCCCACGGAGTCTAACCAATCCTGGTAGTGTTGCCTCACCCGAGCCTTGAAAGCTCGGTTGACGCATATGTCCAGGGGCTACACGACGGAAGTGCAGCCCGCGGGGATGACTCCGGGGACGACAGCAAGCTTCCCGTAGCATTCCTTCACTTCAGGCGTCAGGTGACCACGGTAGGAGTCAAGAATCAGTAGGGCAGAGCGCGCACGCAAACCAAATCTTGGGCGGATGAAGGGCTCGACGACGTTTTCTAGCCAGGTCTTCACACCGTCCGCATCCATCCAGCCGTTGGGCTGTGCCGCAACGACGACATCTGCATAAAGACAGAGTATAAGCTTGGTTAACGCGATTGAAAAAACAAGGAAAACACACAAAAGACGCGAAACCAAAACAAAACAGCGGGGAAATTCCCTTAAGGGACGGTCTTCTTCTTAAAGTAGACCCACGGCTTCAGCTTCTCCCCCCCTGCCGTGCACGCGAGCATAATAGTAACTCGCTCATTCTGGTAGCCGGCGGAGCGGATAGGGACGGAGTTGACGCCGACCTGCTTGACGGTGCGGTCAGCCGGCATCACCAACCACAGTGGAGTTTGGTCGGTGTTGATTATCCAACGCTCTTCAATGCCGTACATCCTCCGCACCTCCCTGCAGAATCGTCAGAAGTTTTCGACCTCTGCCGAGCAACCTGTGGGAGGGCAGTATGGGAATTCGAAAAGGACACGACGTAGTACAACATTCGTGTGGAGCGACAATGTAAACTCGAATAAGATAGTACGTACATAAGCGGAAAGAAGAGACAGAAATGGATGCAATGAAGGTGTACTTACTATCGGTCATTTTCTGACCGACTTTCGTCTTGGCGCGAACCGACAGATTCCACCTTGACCGGAATCGTTCGGTCCAGCGGTAGGAGCCTTGCCATTTGACGTCGGGGTGAAGAACCTTCATTAACTCCCGTGACCACTTCTGCAGCCTTGACACCGAGTTCCCACAGCGCGCGCGGCGAGAAGCTTCGAATACACCTGCGTCTCTATATCGGCTTACCAAGAAGACCTCCCCTGCCCATGCAGCCTCTTACGGCAGCCGTGGGCAGCTCTTAGCTCCTCCTCGTGCTTCGACCAGTCGTTGATGCGGCGGCGCGAGATTCCAGACTCGCGTGCGACTTCATTCTTCTTCTTTACCTCTTTCGGTCAGTCCAGCCAAAATAGCTTCTCCTTCGCCGTGTAGGACTTTCGTTTCCTCCCGTTCATCCGATTCCTGGGGGATGGGGGGCAGGCATCTCGATTCACAGAATAAGGATGTGGCGGTTTTCTGCCCTCGGGAAACGACGGCACAAGGAGCTTCTCGGGAAGACCATCCCGAGACCAGTACTCAGCTCCATCATCAGCATCTGCGACGTGCTCGGGCCACTCATCGCCGTGCGGAATCCCCCAATCACGAGCAGCAGGTGGCGCAACGGAAGAGCTAGCAGAAATGATGGGCATTGATGTCGTCTTGCGGAATTTTCTCGCCTGACAGCAGCAAAGTCAGGACCGGCAGTCCGTACAGGTACGGAGGAGCGGGTGGCGCTGGCGGGGCAGGAGGAGTGGGAGGAGCCGGCGGAGCAGGAGGGGCAGGGGGAGCCGGAGGAGCCGGAGGAGCGGGAGGTGCGGGAGGAGCTGGACGATGCTCTGCTCTAATGCGCGTGGGCTCGCCTGGTCTACCAAAAAGGATCGAAATGCCAGACACGTGAAAGCCAGCCATAGCTCCCGCAAGGGGAGCTGGTGCTGCTTCAGCGTTCACATCGATAGGAAATGAAATACTGAACCCCCTCGACGAGGTACCCCCTCCTGGAAGGCGGCTTGGGTTCCTCGTCGGGGTCAGATTCCTCGTCGGGGTCAGATTCCTCGTCGATGAAAGGGGTGGAGGAAGGAATATTTTCTTGAAGATTCCTGTCCAGATTCCAGGTACCCCAAGCCACGTCGCTGCCCTGGTGCGGATGTTGCAGGAATGTGGTCCCCAACACCACTGAACCATGTGTGCTGGCACAGCACGGCACCAGGATTGCTTGTGATAGGGCCGCATGGCAGCTTTCTTGCCTTGCTGTGCTGGTCGCACATTGAAGCCTAGTTTCCGTGCATGTTCTCGGCGTGTCCCCTCTAGAACCACGCCCAATAGCCTACAAACATCAAGACCTACTGTTTTTTTTTTTTTTTAATATTCTGTAAACTTCGTTATAAACGCCCATGGGCGTATATTCTTTATTCAATTAAACGCCCCCCCCCCCCCCCCCCTTAATTAAAAAACAGTCCTATAAACGCCCCTAGGGGCGTCTATCCGGGTGATTACGGTAGTACCCTCTAAGGCACAAACCTATATTGTCTATACTAGCATACGAAGATGTTTGACAGCGTAGCCCTTGGGAACTCCCGTGCAAGCACGAGGTGGACGAATATGAAGTTTCACAAAAACATTTCGCTTATCTTTTTCCTCGTCAACCAATCGTAACCTGCTGCCCCACCTACTTCAACAATACCAATATGCAACCTGCTAGTCGGGCTTTAATACAAATGCATGGCTTCTCATGTGGTATTCATGTGGTGCTCATGTGGAACACTACACCACATGAATAGTGCCTAGTGTATAGTCCCTTTTTTTTTTTGCACGTTGGCGGACGCAATATACATATATATGTGAACGCCTAATGTATAGTCCCTCAGGTTGCACGTTGGCGTACGTAATATACATATGTGTGTGCATGAAATCGTGTACTTGTTTTGCTGATGCTCCCTAGATGTTTCAAGCGAAAGGACTATACAAAGTCGGGTTTCCCACAAGCAAAGGTTCCCTCTTCTGGCGGCCGTCCTCACCTTGGGATTCGACCAAGAGAGCCCCTCGAGATTCCTCCATCTCAGCATTCTGCGCCTGGTTTACCGCTAACGATCCAAGTTGATCTCTTGCAGACTTTCTCACAGGAGAAACCTTTGTCGTCCCGTCCGGTACTCGATCATGGCGTCGCGGGATTTATACAAGACTAAGCTGTGCGTTCTTCATGAAAGGGGGAAGTGCGACAGACCTAACTGCACTTTCGCGCATGGAGAAGAGGAGCTCCGTAAAGCTCCCCCCGGAGCAACCGGTAAGAGAGCTCTCATGCCGTCTTACGGTGGGAGGTTTTTTTTTAATATCTTTTAATCACCGAGCCGGTTTACTGGGCCTGAGCGTGGCTTTCCGCCTGTCTCTGTTTGTTTCTGTGTAAGCGACTGCGACGCTTCATTTTATATTGGGTTCTTCCGAAGTTCAGTTATTGGCAACTTATTTGACACCATGTGATCGACTCCGGAGCGTTTGTTTCCTCAAACCCTAGTTGACGAAGATGCATGTCTTGTGAAGTGTTGAGCAAGGTCCTTTAAATACCTTTTCACTTCCATCCATTCTCAGCCAGAGCGTCTTGACGCCGGTGCACAAGTGAGTTGCCCTGCGTTTCTGTCATTCGTTCAATAAGAACGGCGAGCTTTCAACAAGTGATTTATTCGATATTCCTGTCCATCTCCATAAGGTATTTCAGGGAAGTACTCGGGGTACAGAGGAGGGGATCTTCGCGATCGCATGAGGTATCGTTCTCCGCCTGAAGATGGCAGACGCCGCGGACGGAGGCCTTCTCCGGTTAGGAAGCGAGGTGAGAAGGCTCCCTGTTCTACATAGATCGTGTTCTGTGATGTCGCTGTCTTTCGTGTGGTGCTTATCTCCATCGCCTTCATGTGTTTCTAGGTCGCAGCATCTCTCCATCACCTTCAAGAGACGACTACTCTGACCGCTCATATGACTCTCGCTCGAGGTCGCCTTCTGAGAACAGGTACTGCAGACCGCGTCTGGTCTCTGTAGACCACTTGTAAGCTCTGTTGCGTTTTCTCCCCCTCGGACTCCCGATATCTCTTTTAAAATGTTTGCTGTTTGTTCTTTCCACTTCAGTGAAAGGCATCATGGTGACCGGAAACGAGAACGGGGAATGGACTACCGAGCAGCTGGCCCTAGTCCAGGCAGCAGGGCTATATCGGCCGAAAGGGTGGAACTCGAGCGTGAGGTATATGGAAAGATAGAACTCTCCTGGTAACAGTTCCACCTCCGATTACATTGTACTGATGGGCCTTGATCCCTTTTTCCCTTGCAGAGGAAGATGCTTCTTAAGGATGTGGCCATTCAAAGGGAGCATTGCGACACACTCCAGGTTTGGACTTTATTTTAGTGGTCACAGACGGTCTTTGAACAAGCATTGCGTGTATTTTACATCTCGATTGTCTTCTTTTGGTGCAGACTCTCCTTGGTCGCAAGACCGAACTGGCGAAGGATCTTTTTGAACATGCAAAGCTTCTGGAGAGGGATGTTCAAGAGAAGGAAGACCTTATTGCCAAGTAATGTCAAGTGCCGTTCTTTCCAAGTTGAAGACCAATCGCAGTTGGGCTGGTTTAGCTGCCGTTTGCTCACTTCCCTTTGTTGGTTGAATGCAGGGTATCCATCAACCTGAAGACGCTCGTTGATGCGCAGCAGTGCGTCACGGCAGCAGAGGACGATGTGAAAAGGTAGGGCATCAACAATCCTTGCACAAGTATGGTTACGTTGCCTCGATCTTGAGCAATGCTGATTCTTTGTCAGTGCAGGTCCAAGATTCAACTTCACATGTTTTTGGAGGAGTTGTCTCCAGATGACTTGGCACCTCCAATGTCCACTGTTGCAAATCTTGCGGAACTTCCTACAGTTCTGGATGCTGCACCTGTTGCAGTACCAGCTTCCATTCCCTCTGCTGCCGGCGCTGCTCTTTCACCTCTCAACCATGACGCATCTGGGAACATGAGCTTAGTCCCAGCTTCACATGTAGGAAATGCTGATCAGGAAGGATTGCCCTACAGTTCTGGTCCAGTTACGGAGCAGCTGGTTACTGGTAGTCACACGCTGCCCCACACAAGGCCTCCTCCCGTCGAGAATCAATCCTCCGGCAAAGCTGCTTCCTCAAGGCGCCTTTCTCAAGGTAAATCCGGCAGACACTCCTTTTTCTTCTTGTGAGCATGCCGTGCATGTGTTAATGTTTTGCGTTTTTGTTTCACAGACGATTATGCAAGGTCTCGTCCTGAAGACTCCATTCATGAGACACAGCTGCCAATGAGGAGAAGACATTCTCGTGAAAATCGCCACGCTGACAACAGGTCTGAGTTTCGTGGCTCAGAACTGCGAGGTGGGCGCAGCAGGACGTCAGGCATGCGAGAGAGAGAATTCAAGGATGAGGAAATGAATGGCCCATCTGGCCGAGATGTTCATCCAGAACATGGCGACTTCAAGCAGCCCAAAGCGAGGGCTGCCCCAGATGATGATGATGCTGATGAGGGTGGCGAGCAGCCCGTTGCAGATGCAGCAGAGGCTAAAGCCGGCAAGGGTATTGTCATGAAGTTTCGCGAAAGTGATAAACGTGGGAAGCGTCAAATTGGCCAGGAAAAGGATGTGGAGAAACAGGCAAAGCAGGCTGAAGACTTTGGAAAGGGCAAGCAGAGCAGGAATGCGGATGCTGACAAGCCTTTGAGGACATCTGAAGCACTCCAGAAGGTTCAGGATGCTCCTTCTCAGCTGAAATGGCTTAAAGAGGAAAAGGAGTCACTTGCACGCAAACCGGAGCTCACCGTAAGTCTTCGTTAAATTGCTTGCATCCTTCATTTATCTCATGAGCTTGGATACCGGTGAACCTAACCTGATGTCTTCTATGCAGGTTCCTGCCCAGTCAAGCATTGTAAAATTACCGTTTCCAGAGAAGGTGAAGCAGGGAAAGTCTAAACCAGAAGAGAAAGTGGAACAGCAGGATCAGCAACAGCAGATTGAGCTGCCAGAGGAGGATGACGCACTGCAGGGGTCAAAGAAGGAATCTGCGGCTGCTCAGAGTGCCGGGAAGCAGGAAACTGATAAGGTGAAGCAGGAGCAGATACAGCAACGGCAGCAGGAGCTGATGGAGCACATTCAAAAGCAAATTCACCAGCGCCAGCAGGAGGAGCAGCTGCAGCACCAGCTGTTCCAGCAGCAGATGGCAGCAGAGGAGGCTGAGAGACGGGCCATGTATGCAGCTCATTACCAGCACCAGCAGCTTGAGCAGCAATACTACCAGCAGCAGCAAGACCCTTACCTCATGCATGGTGAGGGGTATCCTCCTCCCGAGCATTACCAGATACCCCCTGCAGAGTATCCCATGGAAGAGGATGAGGCCCCTCCGGGTGTGACGCCTCAAGCTGATGAAGGGATGGGGCTGCCAGTGTCTCATGATGTTTTTGGTAAGTTGCATTAAATCCATGCACACAGCGCTAGCTGTCTATGCTTTCCCGTATCGATATTTTGTTCGGATGCCCTGTTGATTGACCATTGACAGACCCTCATAAGTTCTGTTGGCTTGTGCTTCCAGCTGTCGCTGCTCCTGTGGAGTAACTGTGCTGGCAGCTCATGTTGCAAGTTCTCGGGGTGAACTGCTCGACTTTTTGCTGCTTCTATCCCTTTCAAGATCAGCTTTTGAACAGCTTTTCTACGTCTGACTGTTCTGAAGCTTGCCTCTTGGAAGCTCTGACTACTGTATGGCTGCACTGTGGTGGTCTAGCTGCCACTTGTACCGTAGGTGGTTCTGACATGTTTAGCCATTGAAGCCTATTAACTCTGATCCCTTATCTTTGCTCGGCTTTCCTCCACATTGCACTGCAATATGAGTTCTTCTGTGATCCAAAGGCACTGTCATTAATCCAAGGAAATGAATCCAGACTGTTGCCTCCCATTGGTGCTTCTAAGCTCGTTTATCAACATGGCGCTTGGGGAGCTGAGAGCGCCCACAAAGTAATCGCATTCTGATGCAATGAGAAGCTGGGAGAAAGTGCTTGCCATGACGCCCATTGCACTGGCCAGGCTGCTGTCCAAGCCAGAGGGGGGTGCCTGCGCATCATGCGCACCCAAGCTCCCTCCTCCCGCACTGTGAAACGTCCAGCCATGGTGCTCCGAAAGGTCATCGGTCACATCCTGCACAAGGAAACACACGAATGGAAGGTGCAAACTTTTGCCACGTCAACCGTGGCAAAATCAGCAACAGAGAGTGGTATCACAGGTCACATGGCGTGGCATGCAGGGACACTGGGAGGAGAGCAAGCACTCACAGGCACAGTGGTTGTCAACCACACGTGACGCAGGTGGGGCACGTGGCGGTGCAGGCGATGAGCCAAGAACATGAAGGCGGGGAGGTCTGGTCGTGGGTTGGACGAGGTTGGCCCTGAGGGGTTGGGATGCGCTCCACTGCTGTTGCCTGCTGTAGCCACCGCCTCCCCTGCTTCTCCAGCAACCTCCCCAGCACCACCCGCACTCACGTGCACACTCACTACCGGCCGCATAATGTAAGCCTCCCTCCCCACTCCCTCATACACCTCGTCAATAATCACACTCCCGCCCCAGCTCCCCTCATTTGCCTTCACACAGCCTTCAAACCCTAATGCCGGCCAGACCCGACCCTCCAGACTTGGCCCAGACCTGATGTCCACCGAGGCAAGGAACTTAGCCTCGGCAGCCGTGTCGATTCCGAGGCTCTTGTCAGCCTCGGATGGGCCGACAGAGAGGGTGTGGATGATGGCGGCCTGCTGCTGGGCGGCAGAGTGCATCTGAGCAGCAATGTAGCGGCCGTAGCTGACATGGCGGATAAGGTTGGTGATGTGGCAGAGGTGGGCGGACGGCCAGCGGAAGAGGAAGTGGGCGGCCTGAGATCGCCACCAGTGCAGCTGAGAGAAAGGAGGAGACGGGGAAGGGGAAGCGGAAGGAGGGGGTTGGAAGAAAGGGTTGAGGGCAAAGAGAACAAGAGCAGCGAGTTGAGGACAAACAGCGGGATCAGCATAGTTGTGGGGCACCACCCATGGCGCAGCTGCAGGGGAGCATCATGCCTTCACCCACCTGCTCCCTCGGTCCATCGGGCGCCGCCACCACTCCTGCAATCTCCACAGAGTGCGTCGCCTGGGAGGTGGCTGGGCCCCACTGCCTGAAAGACGGGCGGCAGACAGAAGGGAAAGGGGGGGTCAGGGAAGGAAAATGGAGCGGCGTAGGAGAAAGGGGGAGGGCGGGTGGGGGGAGTGTGTGGCGGGTGCCCAGGGCATGCAGTCACAGAGGATTGATCAACTGGGCAGGCGGGTAAAGCAGCAACGCAGGGGAGCACTGCATGCGTACGTGGCGACTCGTGATTCGTTGGCCAGCAGCAGCAGTTGGTGCCTGCTCAACGCCCCTGTGCAGACCCGCACCACCACATCTGGTGACGCCAGCAGGGCCTCTAACTCATCCAGCCCCTGAGAGGACCCGCTGGCCGTTGCACCAGCCGCCTCAGCGGCCTGGTGGGCCTCAGCGGCGTGGGGGGCGCACGCGAGGGAGGGCACGGACTGTGGGCTGGAGGCAGCAGCAGCCATGGCGTCCGCTGCTGCCTGCTGGCAGGGAGGCACGGTGAGCGGCGCAAAGAAACACGCCAGGGACGCTGGGGTGGCTGGGGGAGCAGAGGAGGACCGAAGAGGACGGGAGAGGAGGAAAATGGTGAAGGGGGGAGTGAAAGGAGGGGCAAGCAGCGTGCAGGGGTTGATTGGTTATGAGCCCAGTGGTGACATTTATGAGACACATGGGCACAGAATGCATGGCATGGCATGGCATGGAGTGGCTGGCACCCACCGGAGCAAGCGGAGTGGTTGGCGTGGGGGAAGGAGCCCGGAGTGATCACGAGCGTGCGGTTGAACAGCAGCGCCGCCCCCAGCAGGCCCCCCACCACATGCACCTCCCCCGCCATGCCCTCCACGCTGCTTGCCCCTCCTGCCTCCCCTGCCCCGCCTGCTGCCACGTCAGCATCTAGCTGAGGCCAATCAGCAAGCAGCAGGCGGCGGTGGTCGCAGGAAGGGGGGAACTGGTGCAGCCAGATGTGTGTTTGGGCGACACGGGTCAGCGGGAGATTGGCTGCGTCGTCACCGCGCACCTGGTGAGCGGTGAGGGGGAGCAGAGTGCACAGGGCGCACAGGGGTGAGCAGGGAGAGCAGGGAGAGCAGGGAGGCTGCCCTGCAGCGAGGCGGAGAGGCGCAAGCCGCGTTGCACCAAGTGGAGAGCACCAGAGGGTGAGGCACGGACGCGGATGAGGCGCATGTGGCCGCCGCGCCCTGCTGGCCCGTGCACGGCACGGCACACCACCACACCCCCGTCCCACCCCTCCTGGCCTACCCACGGCGGCTGGGGGGAGCATCCGCAGCACTGCGAGGGCGCGGTCCATGGCGGCGCCTCCCCCCCCTCCCCCCGCTTCTCTGCGCGCGCCCTGGCCGCCGTGCGCGCCGTGCACTCCTCCAGGTGCGGCGCGGGCGGCACGCCGGGCGGCAGGGCGATGGCGAGGGGCGGCAGAATCGAGCCTGGCGTCAACTCATAGGCCTCCTGCCACGCCTGGCAGTGCGGGGTGGCGGGGAGGGCGGGGAAGGGGGGTTGGAGGGAAGGGGGGTTGGAGGGAAGCGGGGGCCATGGAGGAAGAAGAAGGGGGGGAGGGGCGAGGCAAAGGCAGGGCTAAGGAGAGCCGAGGAGGGGGGATGGGTAGGGGATGGGGAGGGGATGGGCGAGAAGCAATGGTAAGGGCGGGGGCTTGAGGAGCAGGCGAGCGAAGGGTCATGCAGGCAACGCGCGCTGAGAGGTCGGCTCGCGGTACGCTTGGGTGGTTCGAAACGAGCGAGCTGATGGATCGATCGAGCAGCTCGTTCCTCGTGCGCACGCTGATGATGCGCCACGCTCATCCAATCCGATGCGTCGAGACGAAATCTCATTGGATCGAAACAGCGCTGCACTTGTCAGCCACACCTGGTGCCACGTCAGCCCTTGCTCGCCGTGTCCTGCGCCGGATTCACCGCCGCTGGATGCGCCTCCTTGCGCGGCAGCGGGGGCGGGGAGGAGGCAGCAGCAGGCGGTGAGAAGCACGAGGGCGGCGGCGGGGAGGAGGGGAGGGCCCATGGCGCGGAGGCGAGGACTGGCAACACGGCGAGGGGGACCGCGGCGGGCGAGCATCGCGGAGACAGCGTACGAGAAAGGAAGGCATCCGCGCTGGTCGGCGCGATGGATGAAAGCGCATTTGACGGCGCCGGGCGGCATTTGAACATGAAAGGCCAGCTGGACATGGAGGAAATTGCTGTCTCGAGCCTGTATTCGATAAGGGATGCTTCAGTACAAATGCATGCTTGTAGTACCCCCAACGTGCAGTACAGCAAATGGCTCATTTCGTTGAATTTCACGGGACTGAAATTGAGCTGCCCGTGCTGGGAAAAAAGGAATCATCCTGTTGAGCGCAAACTCGCGTCGCATGTCGTGGCCACGTGAGGTGTCGTCTTTCCTCAATGCTGATTCGCTGCGATTCACCGCTGTCCCCACGGTCGGTCCGTTCTTTGCTGCGCTGTGCTCGTCGCATCGAATCAACCTGCAGCCTGCCTCAGTTGGCACTTGCGAAAGTTTTTCGCTACCCTAATTTCTCGCAAGTGACGTTACAAAACACAAGCCCATCTAGTTTCGACCAATCGCCTCGTTACCACCTTCAGTTCACTGCCATATAACACACTACACATGATGCTCAGCCAACTGGCCATCCATCTGATGCCCTCGGGCTATTTTTTGTTTCAATAGACAGGTTTTACGGGCAACTGCTCGAGTTGTACAGGCCTCAGAATCAGGCGCAATCTCAGGTGAAGATTGCGCCTCCGAGAAACGTGCGCAGCGGTAATGGAAATGACGCCCAGAATTTGGTGCTGCAGTTCATGCTGTTACCGATATTCACACAAAAGTCAGCGGAGACCACCCTTTTTTACAGCATTGCTGTCAAGGTGGTAACCCTGGTCCTTTGTACAGGCCCAGCTGTGAGGAGAGTTGTTTGTGTCCGTCACAAGAGCAATCGTCTGAAATAAAAATAGTTTTAAATAAAGTATCAGGTGTAACTATCCTCCCCCACTTCGTGCCCGCCCCCCGCTGCCAGCTTGACTGAATGGAATGTGGACGCTTTTATGACGTGGCAGAGAGCGCACAATGCACAGCACTCTGATTCCCTTGCGCGTGCCCCCCTCCCTCCCCTTCCCTCCTCCTGCATCCTTCCTTGCCCGCAGCCGAGCACACCCAATTCTATTCCTTCGCACTCGCCTCTCCCCGACCACCCTGTGACTGCCTCAGCTTAGCAGAACCAACCACTCCCCGCCTCACAGCTTTGGAGTGGCCACTCTCTTGTAACAGAAACAGACGCACATTACGCGGCCAACGGATAGCACCATCGGCGCGCCCACAAGTGCTCAGCTGTCCATTCGAGTCATGAGTCTAAGCGTCGGCCCCTCCTCGCTGTCGGTCGACGCCTTCTCTGACCCCTACGACCCCGCCTATCGCTGCCGTCCGACCAACCCTGGCACCGCATTGCACACCTCTCACGCTGACGGCCATCAACTGATGCTGCCAGGAAGCCGGGGCGCATTCAACGGCGCCCCAGACATGGCGCCGCCGCACATGCGGCCGCCGCCCTCCGTTTTTGGGGAAGGATTCTCACCCGAGCCGCATCTTGCGCACGTTTCATCCGCAGAGCCCGGATTCCCCAATCCTCCTTTCGGCGCTGACACGTTTACGCCTTCCATTGGCGGGTGGGGGGCGGCGCGGGGAGCCGTGGTCATCCGCAGCGGCGACGACGAGGACCAGTCGCGTCACGTCCCCATCGCCTACCGCCCGCCGCCCCATCGGCCCCGCGCGGGCGCCTCACAGGCTCCGCCAGCTCCCGCGCTGCACCTGGCGGAGGGCGTGACGATCAGGCAGGGCAGAGACGACGACTTTGACACGTCGCACGCCATTCCGCTCCCCGCCTCCAGCTTCCGCAGCAGCGCCCCGCAGGTCAGTGAAACGCTCCGCCTTGCTTTCCCCCCGGCATGTATCCTTCGCCCCGGCATCTATCCTTCGCCCCGCAGCGTCGCTCCATCCGCCTAAGCACCAAAGCTTTTCGCCCGCGAGCAATCCCCACCGACTCTGCTCTCCCTCCCCACCTCCCCCTCCTCTTTCCGCACCCCCTCCGCGCGCCCGCATTTCCCCCATCGCCAGGCTCCGCCCCATCTCCGCCGCGTCGACCCCGCGTTCCCCGCCGCCGAGTATGCCGGGACTGCCGGGGCTGCGCTGTCCTTCGACGGCTACCCGGGTCGCGGCAATTCCGGGGCCTTCAATCCCAGCCTGCAGCGCTTCGACGGCGGGGGCCGCATCTCCCCTCCGCTCTACGCAGGCGTTGGCGCGGGCCGCATGGGCGGGTCCCCGCAGATGTACACAGCTGGCGGAGGGGGCGGCGGGGGAGATCGCGCGGACTGGGCGGCTCACAGGTTCGCGAGCGGAAGCGATCTGGACAGGGGCAGGCGGAGCCAGGACGGGTATGCGGGGGGGAGTGCGCGCTTTGGCATAGGGTCGATGGACGGGAGGGGAGAGGGCGCGGTGGGCGAATTCCGCGAGATGGCGGGCATGGGCGGAATGCGGCCCGCGCAAGGCGTGTTCGCGTCGCGGTCGTATGACGAGGAGAGGGGCGGGATGTATGGGGAGATGGCTGGGGCTGTGCGCGGAGCAGTGTGCGCGGATGGCGCTGCTGGCGGGGGAAGCTGGCGGAACGGGGGCGAGTATTACGCGGGCGAGGGGGAGGCGGAAGGGCGGAGCGGGGGCGGGAGCCATCAGAGCGGGCTGTCGCTGAAGGAGGAGTTGGCGGCGCTCGACGGCGGCAGCGACGAAGCGCACGGCGAGGCGCCGCTGAGGAGCTCCCAGCGACCCAACTCCGACGAAGGCTGGGTGCGCGTGAGGGGGAGAGAGAGGGGGATAGGGAGGGGGGGGGGGGGCGAAACGGGTTTTTGGGGAAAGATCATGGGGGCGGAAATTTGGGGGGACGAAGGGCGAGCGATGGAGAGGTGAGGAGGGGGACGAAATCTGGGTGCGCGAGAAAGGGAGAATCACAAGTTACGCCGGAGTGCACGTTACATGCTCAAACTACACCTTATTGGATAATCAACAGCGCAGTACACAGCTTAACACCATTGCAGACATGCTGCGTGTAGTGCCCAAGTCCCACACTATTGCACAATCACACTGCAGGCTTCGACTCATTGCTAAAAATGCATTGCCCAAATACATTTAAAACTTAGCTGCAGCACGGCGTTATGCAGCCCAGCCCTCTAGCTTGGCTCGTACTCACTCCTGCTACTCGCTTCTCATAAGAACTCCCCTTCTCTCCCCTCCCGCCCTCTTCCCCCCCGCTTCTCCCCCCTTTTTCCCCTTTCGCTCGCCCCCGTCAGAACATCCCCCTCAATCCATCCTGCGAGTACCCTCTAAGCAACCAGTTCAACCGCGGCCCCCAGCATTCCACCAACATGACTGCTGATTCCGGTGCTTACCTAAGCGCCGACTTCTCCATCTACTCCTCCTCCTCCGCCTCTCTCTCCCTCCCATACCGCTCCCGCCACCCAGCTGCTGGCTTCCCTGCTGGCAGCAGCGGTATGTGGGGGGGAGCCATGGGGGCAGCAGAGAGTGATGCGGGGAGTGTGGTGGGCGGAGGGGGGAGGGAAGCAGGCGGCGATTGCCGTCTTTTCTCGGAGGAGCAGCTGGCGAGGGCAACTGACAACTGGAGCCCGGCAAACCGCCTGGGGAAAGGCGCCTTTGGCACGGTGAGGAGGGGGAAAGGGGCAGGAAAAGGGGGGGGGAGAGAGGAAAGAAGAGAGGAATGGGAGTAAAGGTTAGCGAGGATAAGAAGAGAGTTTACCGCTAGTGTGATGATGGTGTGATGTGAGGGGGATGAATGAAGCATCGGGAGGAGTGACGGATGCAAGGGAAGGAGAGGAGAGGGAATAACGGGCCTCTTCCCCCCCCACCCTCTTCCCCCCCCCCCCCCCCCCAGGTGTACAAGGGCCGTGTGATGGGGTGCGACGTGGCGGTGAAGCGGCTGGAGGGCGGCAGCTGGCAGGGGCCGGAGGAGTATTTGACGGAGGTGGAGGTGCTGAGCCGCATGCGCCACCCGCACATCGTGCTGCTCATGGGCCACTGCCCCGACGCCATGTGTCTCGTCTACGAGTACCTGCCAGCTGGCTCGCTGCAGGACCACCTCAAACCGGCTGGCTGCACTGGAGCCGGGCGGCGGGCGTTGTCTGTGGCGGAGCGCGTGCGTGTGGCGAGTGAGGTGGCGTCGGCTCTGCTGTTCCTGCACCACCACGACCCCCCCATCGCCCATCGCGACCTCAAGCCCGACAACGTGCTGCTCGACGCCAACCGCGGCTCCAAGCTCGCTGATGTGGGCCTCGCGCGCCTCATCGCGGAGGACGACTCGACCACCACGCGCGTGCGCGGCACGGTGGGGTACATCGACCCGGAGGAGGTGATGACCTTCGAGATCAGCGTGCTGTCGGACGTGTACGCGCTGGGGCTCATCATGCTGCAGCTGCTGACGGGGGACGGCAGCATCAAGAGCCTGCACCAGCGCATCAAGCCGTTCCAGGACGCGCTGGAGAGCTACTGGGAGCAGGGAGGGGCAGGCGGCAGCAGCAGCAGCAGCAGCAGCAGCCCCATGGTGCAGGCGGTTACGGCGCTGGTGTCGGACCATCTGGACGTGTCGGGGGGCGAGTGGCCGCTGTCCCTGGCGTGCCAGCTGGCAGAGTGGGGCCTGCGGTGCGCCGCCCGGCAGCGCGTGCACCGGCCGGACCTGGCGGGCGAGCTGCAGCCGGCGCTGGGAGGGCTGGTGGAGGAGGTGGAGGCGGGGGAGAGGCAGCGGCAGCAGAGCATTGAGGACCAGTTCATGTGCCCCCTGTCCCATGTATGTGCTCTTGTCAACACTGCCTTGCGCTCTCTTTATTCTCCTCCCTTATTCTCAACCTCTCTCTCGGCCTCCTTTGGTCCCTCCCTTCTTCCTCCATCCCCTCGCACTCTCCCTTGCTGTTCTCCTTCACTCTTTCCAGGAGCGAATGACTGATCCAGTGGTGGCAGCAGATGGCTTCACATATGAGCGCAGCAGCATTGAGGAGTGGCTCCAGACGCACGACACATCACCATCCACTCATGAACCGCTGCCACACAAGCACCTCACACCCAATCATGCACTGCGCATGTTGCTCCAATCAAGATGAGGCGTGCACAAAGCAAAGTGTGTATGGCGAAACGCTGTAACGTCTCTACTAGTTTGTTGGTTTGATGTTTGGATTTGGGAGTGCGCACTCGTGTACATGAATTGTTTCATTTCATTCAATCTTACTCTAGGTTTTGAATGAAGAATGATCGTAGCTGTCCTTGTATCATACGTAGAATAACGAGTCACGAAGAACTTGGACGCTCGTGTATCGCATCCCTTGAACGCAAACTTCCATCTCGTTCACGAATGACAACCCACACGTGCCGCCTTACAGCGAGGAAAGTGCTGTGGCTGTTGCGAGGCGCGCTGCAATGAAAATCCAAACCTAGCCAATCAGGGGCCAGTTCGTTGGGAATGCAGGTTCATTCGCCTGCCCCGCTGTCCCACGCTCAGGCTCACCCAAACCAAGCCCATGTTTTGCAACACCTGCTCACCCAGCCCAAATCGATCTCACCCTGCGCAAACCGACTGAACCGCTTTGTTCCGGAGGGGCGCCTTTTCTTCCAACCTCTTCGAATCCCTCCCATACACGGCTGTCTCCCTTCCCTTCCCAAGTCGGCGCTTCTCACTTTTCGAGCTAGTCGTAAAATAACTTCACCTATGCTTTGCGGCCCAGGAGGAAAGCTCATCCCGCCAGCTCAACCCTAGTCGTCAGACCTCGGCTTTAAACTCCCTTAATTCCTCGTCACAGCCATGCCCGCATCGCCTTTACTCGCGCCCCGCGCGCCCTGCTCTCGCGCGGACCTCACCGCAGCCATGTGGACTCCCGCCGCACCCGCCGCGGCTGCAGCCGTCTTTTTGCCGCCGTGCATCGCCGCGCATTCCCCGCGCAATATCGGCGGCCGAACGGGCGAGCGCGGTGCCTGCAGCGCGTCGCGGTGCGGCTGCCACCAGCAGCGCAGCTGTCGCGATAGGCGACACGCGCGTCTGCTCGTAGCGCGTACACGTGCGGAAGTTAACGCGAGGGCCGCCTTTCGCCCCGCTTCTCCGCCTCCCGCCAGTCCTGCGGCTTCCGCGGGCCGCGTTCACGCCGCCGTTGCTGCAGGCCCCGCTGTGACCGCAGAGCCGCAATCTGCGGCCAGCGCAGCTCTGCCGGCCGTTGTAACTCCGACATTTCTGCCACGTGGTATGGAGCAAGACAAAGGAGATTCTCCCCCAACAATCAGATTGGATAAATTGGCTGACGGCTCGGCACAAACTGGCGGGGAGTTGGCAGACGGCGCGCGGAAAGCAATGAAAGAAGCTTCGAGGCAGGAGGCGGTGGCGTCGGCAGCGGAGGAGCGAGCGGAGTGCGTCGTCGCGGGGCGCCCGATGGGGAGGAGGACAGCGACAGGCCCCGTGATTCTGCAAGCTGCTGAAGGTGAGGCATGCAAACCGGGAGGTGCGGGAATGGCGGGAGAGAGATGCGGGAATGGCGGGAGAGAGATGCGGGAATGGGGGGAGAGAGATGCGCGAATGGGGGGAGAGAGATGCGCGAATGGCGGGAGAGAGATGCGGGAATGGCGGGAGAGAGATGCGGGAATGGCGGGAGAGAGATGCGCGAATGGCGGGAGAGAGATGCGGGAATGGCGGGAGAGAGATGCGGGAATGGCGGGAGAGAGATGCGGGAATGGCGGGAGAGAGATGCGGGAATGGCGGGAGAGAGATGCGGGAATGGGGGGAGAGAGATGCGCGAATGGGGGGAGAGAGATGCGCGAATGGCGGGAGAGAGATGCGGGAATGGCGGGAGAGAGATACGGGAATGGCGGGAGAGAGATGCGGGAATGGGGGGAGAGAGATGCGCGAATGGGGGGAGAGAGATGCGCGAATGGCGGGAGAGAGATGCGGGAATGGCGGGAGAGAGATGCGGGAATGGCGGGGAGAGATGCGGGAATGGCGGGAGAGAGATGCGGGAATGGCGGGAGAGAGATGCGGGAATGGCGGGAGAGAGATGCGGGAATGGCGGGAGAGAGATGCGGGAATGGCGGGAGAGAGATGCGGGAATGGGGGGAGAGAGATGCGCGAATGGGGGGAGAGAGATGCGCGAATGGCGGGAGAGAGATGCGGGAATGGCGGGAGAGAGATGCGGGAATGGCGGGAGAGAGATGCGGGAATGGCGGGAGAGAGATGCGGGAATGGCGGGAGAGAGATGCGGAATGGCGGGAGAGAGATGCGGGAATGGCAGGAGAGAGATGCGGTAATGGCGGGAGAGAGATGCGGGAATGGCGGGAGAGAGATGCGCGAATGGCGGGAGAGAGATGCGGGAATCGCGGGAGAGAGATGCGGGTGTGGCGGGAGAGAGATGCGCGAATGGCGGGAGAGAGATGCGGGAATGGCAGGAGAGAGATGCGGTAATGGCGGGAGAGAGATGCGGGAATGGCGGGAGAGAGATGCGGGAATGGCGGGAGAGAGATGCGGGAATGGCGGGAGAGAGATGCGGGAATGGCGGGAGAGAGATGCGGGAATGGCGGGAGAGAGATGCGGGAATGGGGGGAGAGAGATGCGGGAATGGCGGGAGAGAGATGCGCGAATGGCGGGAGAGAGATGCGCGAATGGCGGGAGAGAGATGCGGGAATGGCGGGAGAGAGATGCGGGAATGGCGGGAGAGAGATGCGGGAATGGCGGGAGAGAGATGCGGGAATGGCGGGAGAGAGATGCGGGAATGGGGGGAGAGAGATGCGCGAATGGCGGGAGAGAGATGCGGGAATGGCAGGAGAGAGATGCGGTAATGGCGGGAGAGAGATGCGGGAATGGCGGGAGAGAGATGCGCGAATGGCGGGAGAGAGATGCGGGAATGGCGGGAGAGAGATGCGGGAATGGCGGGAGAGAGATGCGGGAATGGGGGGAGAGAGATGCGCGAATGGGGGGAGAGAGATGCGCGAATGGCGGGAGAGAGATGCGGGAATGGCGGGAGAGAGATGCGGGAATGGCGGGAGAGAGATGCGGGAATGGCGGGAGAGAGATGCGGGAATGGCGGGAGAGAGATGCGGGAATGGGGGGAGAGAGATGCGCGAATGGCGGGAGAGAGATGCGGGAATGGCAGGAGAGAGATGCGGTAATGGCGGGAGAGAGATGCGGGAATGGCGGGAGAGAGATGCGCGAATGGCGGGAGAGAGATGCGGGAATGGCGGGAGAGAGATGCGGGAATGGCGGGAGAGAGATGCGGGAATGGCGGGAGAGAGATGCGGGAATGGCAGGAGAGAGATGCGGTAATGGCGGGAGAGAGATGCGGGAATGGGGGGAGAGAGATGCGCGAATGGCGGGAGAGAGATGCGGGAATGGCGGGAGAGGGATGCGGGAATGGGGGGAGAGAGATGCGCGAATGGCGGGAGAGAGATGCGGGAATGGCAGGAGAGAGATGCGGTAATGGCGGGAGAGAGATGCGGGAATGGCGGGAGAGAGATGCGCGAATGGCGGGAGAGAGATGCGGGAATGGCGGGAGAGAGATGCGGGAATGGCGGGAGAGAGATGCGGGAATGGCGGGAGAGAGATGCGGGAATGGCGGGAGAGAGATGCGGGAATGGGGGGAGAGAGATGCGCGAATGGCGGGAGAGAGATGCGGGAATGGCAGGAGAGAGATGCGGGAATGGCGGGAGAGAGATGCGGGAATGGGGGGAGAGAGATGCGGAATGGCGGGAGAGAGATGCGGGAATGGCGGGAGAGAGATGCGGGAATGGGGGGAGAGAGATGCGCGAATGGCGGGAGAGAGATGCGGGAATGGCAGGAGAGAGATGCGGTAATGGCGGGAGAGAGATGCGGGAATGGCGGGAGAGAGATGCGGGAATGGCGGGAGAGAGATGCGGGAATGGCGGGAGAGAGATGCGGGAATGGCGGGAGAGAGATGCGGGAATGGCGGGAGAGAGATGCGGGAATGGCGGGAGAGAGATGCGGGAATGGGGGGAGAGAGATGCGCGAATGGCGGGAGAGAGATGCGGGAATGGCGGGAGAGAGATGCGGGAATGGCGGGGGAGAGAGATGCGGGAATGGCGGGAGAGGGATGCGGGAATGGGGGGAGAGAGATGCGCGAATGGCGGGAGAGAGATGCGGGAATGGCGGAGAGAGATGCGGGAATGGCGGGAGAGAGATGCGGGAATGGCGGGAGAGAGATGCGGGAATGGCGGGAGAGAGATGCGGGAATGGCGGGAGAGAGATGCGGGAATGGCGGGAGAGAGATGCGGGAATGGCGGGAGAGAGATGCGGGAATGGCGGGAGAGAGATGCGGGAATGGCGGGAGAGAGATGCGGGAAATGGGGGGAGAGAGATGCGCGAATGGCGGGGAGGAGAGATGCGGGAATGGCAGGAGAGAGATGCGGGAATGGCGGGAGAGAGATGCGGGAATGGGGGGGAGAGAGATGCGCGAATGGCGGGAGAGAGATGCGGGAATGGCAGGAGAGAGATGCGGGAATGGCGGGAGAGAGATGCGGGAATGGCGGGAGAGAGATGCGCGAATGGCGGGAGAGAGATGCGGGAATGGCGGGAGAGGGATGCGGGAATGGGGGGAGAGAGATGCGCGAATGGCGGGAGAGAGATGCGGGAATGGCAGAGAGAGATGCGGTAATGGCGGGAGAGAGATGCGGGAATGGGGGGAGAGAGATGCGCGAATGGGGGGAGAGAGATGCGCGAATGGCGGGAGAGAGATGCGGGAATGGCGGGAGAGAGATGCGGGAATGGCGGGAGAGAGATGCGGGAATGGCGGGAGAGAGATGCGGGAATGGCGGGAGAGAGATGCGGGAATGGCGGGAGAGAGATGCGGGAATGGCGGGAGAGAGATGCGGGAATGGCGGGAGAGAGATGCGGGAATGGCGGGAGAGAGATGCGGGAATGGCGGGAGAGAGATGCGGGAATGGGGGGAGAGAGATGCGCGAATGGCGGGAGAGAGATGCGGAATGGCGGGAGAGAGATGCGGGAATGGCGGGAGAGAGATGCGGGAATGGCGGGAGAGAGATGCGGGAATGGCGGGAGAGAGATGCGGGAATGGCGGGAGAGAGATGCGGGAATGGGGGGAGAGAGATGCGGGAATGGCGGGAGAGAGATGCGGGAATGGCAGGAGAGAGATGCGGTAATGGCGGGAGAGAGATGCGGGAATGGCGGGAGAGAGATGCGCGAATGGCGGGAGAGAGATGCGGGAATGGCGGGAGAGAGATGCGGGAATGGCGGGAGAGAGATGCGGGAATGGCGGGAGAGAGATGCGGGAATGGGGGGAGAGAGATGCGCGAATGGCGGGGAGAGATGGCGGGGGAGAGAGATGCGGGAATGGCAGGAGAGAGATGCCGGTAATGGCGGGAGAGAGATGCGGGAATGGCGGGAGAGAGATGCGCGAATGGCGGGAGAGAGATGCGGGAATGGCGGGAGAGGATGCGGGAATGGGGGGAGAGAGATGCGCGAATGGCGGGAGAGAGATGCTGCGGGAAATGGCAGGAGAGAGATGCGGTAATGGCGGGAGAGAGATGCGGGAATGGCGGGAGAGAGATGCGCGAATGGCGGGAGAGAGATGCGGGAATGGCGGGAGAGAGATGCGGGAATGGCGGGAGAGAGATGCGGGAATGGCGGGAGAGAGATGCGGGAATGGCGGGAGAGAGATGCGGGAATGGCGGGAGAGAGATGCGGGAATGGGGGGAGAGAGATGCACGAATGGCGGGAGAGAGATGCGGGAATGGCAGGAGAGAGATGCGGGAATGGCGGGAGAGAGATGCGGGAATGGGGGGAGAGAGATGCGCGAATGGCGGGAGAGAGATGCGGGAATGGCAGGAGAGAGATGCGGTAATGGCGGGAGAGCGATGCGGGAATGGCGGGAGAGAGATGCGCGAATGGCGGGAGAGAGATGCGGGAATGGCGGGAGAGGGATGCGGGAATGGGGGGAGAGAGATGCGCGAATGGCGGGAGAGAGATGCGGGAATGGCAGGAGAGAGATGCGGTAATGGCGGGAGAGAGATGCGGGAATGGCGGGAGAGAGATGCGCGAATGGCGGGAGAGAGATGCGGGAATGGCGGGAGAGGGATGCGGGAATGGGGGGAGAGAGATGCGCGAATGGCGGGAGAGAGATGCGGGAATGGCAGGAGAGAGATGCGGTAATGGCGGGAGAGAGATGCGGGAATGGCGGGAGAGAGATGCGCGAATGGCGGGAGAGAGATGCGGGAATGGCGGGAGAGAGATGCGGGAATGGCGGGAGAGAGATGCGGGAATGGCGGGAGAGAGATGCGCGAATGGGGGAGAGAGATGCGCGAATGGCGGGAGAGAGATGCGGGAATGGCGGGAGAGAGATGCGGGAATGGCGGGAGAGAGATGCGGGAATGGCAGGAGAGAGATGCGGGAATGGCGGGAGAGAGATGCGGGAATGGCGGGAGAGAGATGCGGGAATGGGGGGAGAGAGATGCGCGAATGGCGGGAGAGAGATGCGGGAATGGCAGGAGAGAGATGCGGTAATGGCGGGAGAGAGATGCGGGAATGGCGGGAGAGAGATGCGCGAATGGCGGGAGAGAGATGCGGGAATGGCGGGAGAGGGATGCGGGAATGGGGGGAGAGAGATGCGCGAATGGCGGGAGAGAGATGCGGGAATGGCAGGAGAGAGATGCGGTAATGGCGGGAGAGAGATGCGGGAATGGCGGGAGAGAGATGCGGGAATGGCGGGAGAGAGATGCGGGAATGGCGGGAGAGAGATGCGGGAATGGCGGGAGAGAGATGCGGGAATGGCGGGAGAGAGATGCGGGAATGGCGGGAGAGAGATGCGGGAATGGGGGGAGAGAGATGCGCGAATGGCGGGAGAGAGATGCGCGAATGGCGGGAGAGAGATGCGCGAATGGCGGGAGAGAGATGCGGGAATGGCGGGAGAGAGATGCGGGAATGGCGGGAGAGAGATGCGGGAATGGCGGGAGAGAGATGCGGGAATGGGGGGAGAGAGATGCGCGAATGGCGGGAGAGAGATGCGCGAATGGCGGGAGAGAGATGCGGGAATGGCGGGAGAGAGATGCGGGAATGGCAGGAGAGAGATGCGCGAATGGCGGGAGAGAGATGCGCGAATGGCGGGAGAGAGATGCGGGAATGGCAGGAGAGAGATGCGGGAATGGCGGGAGAGAGATGCGGGAATGGCGGGAGAGAGATGCGGGAATGGGGGGAGAGAGATGCGGGAATGGCGGGAGAGAGATGCGGGAATGGCGGGAGAGAGATGCGGGAATGGCGGGAGAGAGATGCGGGAATGGCGGGAGAGAGATGCGGGAATGGCGGGAGAGAGATGCGGGAATGGGGGGAGAGAGATGCGCGAATGGCGGGAGAGAGATGCGGGAATGGCAGGAGAGAGATGCGGTAATGGCGGGAGAGAGATGCGGGAATGGCGGGAGAGAGATGCGCGAATGGCGGGAGAGAGATGCGGGAATGGCGGGAGAGGGATGCGGGAATGGGGGGAGAGAGATGCGCGAATGGCGGGAGAGAGATGCGGGAATGGCAGGAGAGAGATGCGGTAATGGCGGGAGAGAGATGCGGGAATGGCGGGAGAGAGATGCGCGAATGGCGGGAGAGAGATGCGGGAATGGCGGGAGAGAGATGCGGGAATGGCAGGAGAGAGATGCGCGAATGGCGGGAGAGAGATGCGCGAATGGCGGGAGAGAGATGCGGGAATGGCGGGAGAGAGATGCGGGAATGGCAGGAGAGAGATGCGCGAATGGCGGGAGAGAGATGCGCGAATGGCGGGAGAGAGATGCGGGAATGGCAGGAGAGAGATGCGGGAATGGCGGGAGAGAGATGAGAGATTCGCGAATGGCAGGAGCAAGGCGTGTGGTATCTGTGCGGCATGTTTATCACGCCTCATGCCTCTCTCAGCCTTCTCCCCACTCCCCTTTCCCCCCCAACGACCGCCCTCCTCGACCCCTGCACCCCCCAGTGCAGCGCGACGGCAGCGTCATCCTGCGCTTCAGCCCTCTGCCCGCCCGCCCTGCGCCCGCCACACGCGCTCCGCGCGCTGCAGCCGCCACAGCAGCGGAGGATGAAATGGGGAGGGGAGATAAGGCACTGAGAAGCGGAAGGGGAGGAGAGGGAGGCGCGAGGGCAGAGGCGAGGGGAGAGGGAGAGGGGGAGCGGGAGGTGAGGGCGGATGCGGGCGTGGTGGTGTACCTGACGGCGTGCACGAGCGAGCACAGCAGGGCCGTGCCCGACGCCGTCATCGAGGAGATCGTGGGGCTGCCCCTCCGCCTCACCCCGTGAGTGCTCAGCTCAAAGTGTGCTCCTCATTGTGCTCCCCAGCCTTTCTCATTGTGACCCGGCCTGGGCTTGGCATTCTCCTGGTTCTCTTGGGTCGTCTTGTTCCTCTCAATCTTGCTTCTCACCGCCCATCTTTCCCCTTCTCCTCCCTCTCTTCTTCCCCTAATCAGAGTGGACCACGTGGCACAGTGGGTGGCCCTCACAGCGCACCACACCATCGCAGCCATCAGCGACGCCATCCGCCTGCCAGCCTCCGCCCTCCGCCTCCACCGCCCTGCCCTGCCCTCCCTGCCGCAACTGCTGGGCCGTGCCAAGCCCCTCCTGCCTTCCCCTCCCTCCGCCTCTCCATCCATGCTGCATGCTGGGGCGAATATACCTGATGCGGTTGTAACGCCAAATGCTAGTGAGGAGCAACGAAGCCCCCATGCCTCTGACTCACTCCTCCACACCCTTTCGCCCTCTGCACCCACACAGCAGCAGCCAGCACCACATACTGTGCTCCCTCAAAATGGAAACACCCAACTCCCAGCAACCACACCAGCCCAGCGCCTTCCCTCCTCGTCACCCTCAGCCGTGCCTCCCTCCCCCGCTGCCTCCCTGGCTGTCACGGCCGTCGGGGGGGTCGTGCTGGCAGGCCTGGTTCAGTTCCTAGCCTCGCTCACAGGTCTGGTGGGGCGCATGCCGGGCAGCAGCAGTGGCACGGGTCAGAGCAGGCTGCTGTGGAATCTTCCAGCAGCTACAGTGCTGCTGCTGGTGGCGGCAGTGAAGGTTTGGGTGTCATGGTGGCCTCACAGCCACAGGAAGCACAGTGTGGAGGTTGTTGGGGGGAATGGGTTGTAGGTTGAAGTGTAAATAAGTTTTGGGGAGGGGGAGAGCAGGAGTAGGAGAGACTGTGTCATAAAATGGTAAAACAGTTTGGGTGTCTGGGTTAGAAGTTGGAATGGAGATGGTCTCATCTCCCATCATCTGAACTGACGTTCATTGGACATGCACTTGCATGGGTTATATCTCTACTACACTTGGCGATTGTAAATAGATGGCATGAACTTGAATGGGTTAGTGCATTGTACATAATTTTTTGGGGTGATTGTAAATATATGTTTGCAGTGCCACATCATCATGCAAATCTACGGATACACTTGCGCGGCTATCGGACCTCCCACTGCTCGAAGGACTTTCTTTGACAGCTGTTGCGGATGACCGCGCTCAGCAGCTGACCGTGAGTCCACAGAACACAACCTTTGTCGTCTAGTTGACTGCCAGCTGGTTCGGGGAGGGGCCACACCTCGCACACACTTTTCCCCTCCCGCTCCCACCGCACCTGTCGCTGGCTGGTCCCCGGCATAGTGGCCATTCGTTGTCCTTTCAAACGACTTTCGCCTTGCCAGTCTGGGGCAGGCAGGGCAGCGAGGGGCCAACGACGAACCAAGGGGTCGGATTTGCGTTTTCGAAGCGCGATGTGCAGATTTGGATTTGTCGGGCCGTACGGGGGAGCTTGGTGCTCGCGGTTGTTGACGGTTTGCTTGTGGGTGGGTCGAGTCGAGCAGCTGCGACCGAAGCAACCACCTCAACTTCCCTCTCAACAGCCGCAAGCGCGAGAGGGCCCTCCTCTCCCCACTCAACCATCCGATCCCATCACATCCTACGATACGTGTATAACAAATCTTAGTCGCTATTCTTCAACAGCAGCTTAGCCAAATCGATCGCAGACTAAGCCAATCAAGCAGACACTATCACCGGACTACTGACCCTGGCTACTGACTTCTCCCTCGCACTTCATCGTGCTCTCTCAGAATAGAATGCGTTTTTTGGATCGGCACAGTACATCTATCTTCGCATGCGGGCTCGCGATTACTCCTCCACTAGTAATAAAGACTGGACACAAGCGCAATAGTAGCGGCCAGTAACCAATCACAGCATGGCATCTGTCAGAGTTGCCGCCGACCCTCGTCAGCAGTTTACGCAGTACGAAATCGACGAGCTTTTGTCGCGTATTTCATCGGGAGCCAGCTGCAACGCCGTGCACGCGATAATGGCGTCGGGGGCGGCACGGCATTTGGCGGTGCGTCTCCTCACGGGCGACGCTGTCGCTGACTCCGCCCGCCCTGCGCACAGCGACTCTTCGCGGGTCTCACTGGTGGACGGCGCCCGCCCGCACAGCGCGGCGGCCGGCGGGCGGCGCGCGAGCACGAGGGCGAACATGACGGCGCGGACAGCGGGGCCCGTGCCGCAGTCCACCTCGTGGGAAGGCCCTTCGGCCGCGACCCCGTCCCCGCGTTACTCTCACACGCCGCGCTCCCCGGCTTCACGGGCCGTCCCCTCGCGTTCGGAGGAGCCAGCGGACCACTGTGCAAGCGACTCCGCACGGTGGGCGCATCAGGATGCCGCCAGTCCCCGAAGCTGCCGCTCCAGAGCCGGGCCGCCCTCGACAGTGCAGCGCACTCGATCAGAGACGCCGCAATCGACGGCATCTCCCCGTCGCGGCACGACGTCGGGAATTTCCAGCCCAGGAGTCTCCGGCGGGGAGAGCGCCTCGCGTCGAAAGCTTCCCGGGAGGTCGTTCTCGGACCAGCCTGAGCGTCCCCGCTCGAGCGGGCGCGTCGACGGCGGCGCAGTGCGGTGCAGTGGCGGCGCTGAAAGCAGCGGTCCCGGTCTGATTAGCCCGCTGGACTTGCGGAGGCGGGTGGTGCCGGAACGGAGTGAGTCTCCCTCGGGGGCAGCGCGAGCGGCGCAGGGCGAAGGGGGCAGGACGGACGACTTGCGGCGGAATGTGCTCGAAAAGTCCCTCTCAGATCGGCCGGAACGGCCTATGAGCGCCGCGGGGAGGTGCAGTAGCAGCGGCAACGGCAGGAGACTGAGCAGCGGACTCGGGCGGCAGACAGTGGGGGACGAGCTAGGGCGGAAGGGGAAGGAGGCGGACGTGTGGGCGGTGTGCGACCGGCTGATGGTAGAAAACCAGACGCAGCTGCGCGCGAGCGGTGCGGGGAGCCCACGAAGGGAGACAGAGGGGGAGCAGATACGGTCGGGTTCTAAGGAGGTGCGGAGAGGCGAAGCGAGAGGGCCTGGCGCGCACGGCGAGTGCTGCAGAGAGACGGAGCGGCTGACGCTGCAGGTGGCGGAGCTGGCGCGCGCGAACGCGCAGCTGAGCGAGATGCTGCAGATCCGGGCGGGGGAGGTGCAGCGCGCGGAGGAGGCGCTGAGGGTGGCGCAGGGGGAGAGGGACGCCCTGGCGCAGGAGATGGAGGCCGCCCTGCACACGTGGATGGCCACCACGCCCAGAGCCGCTGCGCCTAGCAAAACAGCCACGCGTGACACTGCTGCGGATGTGACCAAAGCAAGTGTGACTATAGAGGAGCATGCAGCTGTGGTGGGGCGGGTGGCAGCGGTGGAGAGGGAGAACCAGGAGCTGTGGGCCATGCTGGAGGGGCTGAGCGCACAGAGGGAGGCGGAGCTCAGGCAGACAGAGGGGCTCAGACTGAGGGTCAAAGGCTTGGTGGCTGCTGCAGCAAGCTCTGCCACCACCGGCAGGGATGGTGGAGGGTCAACCATTTCCGGAGGTTCGTCGTCGGATAGGCACGGCTCCAACATGCTGTCTGTCAATGGAGCACCCTCAGCTTCCAGGGTGCGAGGTCACAGGCACCAGAGTTCACTTCATTCGGTGCATTCAGTGCCAAATCCTGTAACGGAACTATCTTCATCCCCAGTCACTCCAAGGCGCCGCTTCCCTTCTAGCGCATCCGTCCCGGGCTCAAGGCATCATGACCAAAATAGGAGCATCAACGCCCAAAGAATGGTGTCTGAGGGCTCCACACAGTTGAGTGTAGGCTCGAAGAAAAAGGTGTGGTTTGGACAAGATTGATAGATTCACACACCTAAGAAAATTGATCTTGCATTCTTTTGTGGTAATATATCGACTTACTTCTCGCAGACTATCTTGTAACTATCCTCGTCAGGATTTGTTCGCTCGCAGTCCGTAGAGCGGGCGGGCGCTCGTCCCTTTGCAACCAATCACGTAGTGGGCGGTGGAACAGCTCACCCCAAGTGCGCTGCTGGTGCAGCTCCTCACTGCATAGAGCGTCGTTTTGCTGCAGACCATCCCGCTGCATCTTTCTTTGCCTCCCGATGCTCAGATGAGGCCTGTTCCACTGCTAGTTCCTCCTTGCTTCCTTAGCGGTTCGAATTCGCAGTTGGGGCTCGCCATGGACCGAGTAGATGCTCAGAGTAGATGCTGGGACGACTTCTTGTGTGTGCCTTGCGTGTGGCCCCTCTATCTTTGCGTTTTTATGGTGCGACCTCCATGACGAAAATAATGGCGTCTTGCCGGTTTTCCCTCTTGCTGCTTCCCTTCCTCCTCACCTCCTTCGCGGCTCGTCCGTTAACAGCGACAAGCGTAGTTGATTTTGGCCGACATGCTAGAAAAGCGATGCGAGCGCTCTTGAGCGTTCCCGAGTTCAGCTCCGCGGCTCCCATGCTGCAAGCCATGCGTCAGTCGCTCGCCACCTCACCCTCTCCACCACATGGCGTCACGCTTTTCTTTATTGTAGTTGCACCGACTCTGTCCAAGCGCTATCTAGATGAAATTTCCTACTTTCGTTTCTCCGCGATGTATTATGTTTGCACTGTCATTCATCCCGTCGCTTCCACGTCCATCTTTCATCTATCCCCATTGTGTCTGATCAGTGAGCACAATGTCCGAGCCAACAGCGACCCCGTCCGGTTTCAACCTCTCGATGAACCCCGTGACGCTTCTCGTGCCCGTCAATCCTAACCAGCTCTGCCGCTCCCTCAAGGGCTTTAAGGCGCGCTCTCTCATCCGCCTCCTCGCCTTCCATGTCGTCAGAGGGCTCTACACGAAAGACAGGCTGCTCGCCCTGCCTCGTGGCGCCCGGATCCGCACCTTCTTTCGCCGCCACTCCATCCGCAAGGTCAACGGACCGCTGCTGCCTGACGCCGCACTCCTGTCCGGCTACGCGCCGCTGTGGAAGAGGCTGGGCGGGATCTTTCAGAGAAAGAAGAAGCCAGGCCAGCTGTGGGAGCGAGTGCTGCCTGTCCAGGTGGTTCAGTTTGATGTTTACAAAACACCGTTTTTTACAGTTCACGTTGTATCCGGATTAATCCTCACATGGGGATTGTCATGATGGGTTTCGGTGATCTGCGTACAAAAGAACGTGGGTTTTTTTACTTCAACAACGCTTTTCGTGGATGGATTGCACTTTGTGCATACTCTGCACATAGCAAGTTTCTGACGACGAGCGTAACTCTGCGAACTACCGGGTCCGTGTAGTTTCGTTACCGCTGCATGTGCGAATCACTAGTTGCGTTACCACTGCATGTGCGAGGCACAGGTGGTTCCCGCCTGGCGAAACTCCTCACATCGCCAGCAAAAGTAGCGCCACCTACGCCGACAACTACTTCGCAGGTGGATCGCGAAATGCTTCGCCGCCACCTACAGAGAGTCCATTGCTGGAGGCACCAACCAGCCTTGCGCTATGGAAGCAGGTGCGACCTCCCTTCCCACCCGCCACATCGAGGAAACAACTTCAGCAGCACGCCCTTGCTTCCTCCCTTCACAACTCCTCCTTTCACATCGCAAGTCGATTCTCAACACAATCAGGCTTCTACGTCCATAGACCGTAAAGGCCGCTACGTGTACTATCTCGAGCGTCTAGGGCTAGGATTCGGGCTCGTCTTCAAGAGTGCATAGCGTGGTCCGTCCCTCCATTCTCCCCGCGCCACTCCATTCTCCCCGCGCCACTCCATTCACCCCACGCCACACATTCTGCCCTCCTCCATGGCCGTACCCACCGGTCCGCGTCGCACCCTTCCCCTCCTGTTACTCTTGCTCTTATCGGCCCTCGCCTTACTGCTAGCGCACGCAACAACAGCCGCCGCAACAAAACGTGCCGGAGCCAGCGCCGTGAAAACCGGAGCCACGCCTGTGATATCGTCTGCGGTCGCCGCTAGTGCCGTTAAAGCGCTGCTTCTATCAAACAAGTACAGCAAGGCGGCGCCGTATCTGCAAATTCTTGGTACGCGGAGCGTTTCCGTTATCTTGTTCACCGTGCTTCTCATTTTCCTCACCGCAGCTCCAGCACTCACTCAGTCACAAGGCACTCCTATGGGTCTTCACTGGCTCTCCTGCCTCGACGCCTTATCCATACCATCTTCATCTGTAACCTCCTTAAGTCTCCCTCCTCCGTCCGATGTCTCTGCAGTCAACACGATCAACACAGTCAACGCCACGGTCAACGCGCCCTACACCCTACTGGTCCCCTTAGAGGCGCTTGATTACTGCACGACTATTAAAAAGTACCCTTCGCAGCAGCTTCTGGCCCTGATGGCCTATCACATAGTGAAGGGCCGATACACCTACGCTAACATGAAAGGCTTCAAGAACGGAAAGGCGTTGAGCACTATATCAGGGCGCGCTTTAACGAGAGTGACAAAGAAATTCATGCCTATGCTGGTAGTGGTGGCAGGGCAGGCGAATGACGAGGCAGTAGTGCTGGCAGGTGACGTGTACTCAACCAAGACTGTCACTGTTCACATCATCAGCAAAATGCTGCAAATTGGGAGCGTATGAGAGATTTTGGGAAGGAATATGCAGCAGTGGAGGGTTACGGTGTCAATATATATTTGTATATGTTTATAGGCTAGATAGGTGCATGCTCATAGAGGGTACAACCCCTGAGAACAAAACCACCCTGTATCTCTCATCCTAGCTCATTACGTTATTCTGAGATGGTATCATGCTAGGTAAGGTCCCCCTCCCCGCTTACGCTTCCACCCCTAGCCCTAGCCCTAGCCCTAGCCCATGTCCTAGCTGTGCCCTAGCCCTAGCCGCGCCGCGCCCTAGTCCGCCGGCCCTCGCCCGCTGGCCCCGAGCTCGCCAGCCCTAGTCCGTAGACCGCTCGCTCGTTGGCCCCGCACTCGCCCGCTGGCCCCGCTGCCCGCCAGCCCTAGGTCGCCGGCCCTAGCGTGCCGGCCCTCGCTCGCCACCAGCCCGCTGCCCGTCGGCCCTAGCTCGCGGGCCCCGCGCGTCGGCCTCTGTACGCCGGCCCCTAGCTCACCAGCGGCCCGCTCCGCTGCCCGCCGGCCCCTGCTCGTCGGCCTCTGCTCGCCGGCTCGTGCTCGCCGGCCCCAGTCCGTGCCGGTCCTAGCTCTCGCTGGCCCCTGTTTGTCGACCCCTGCTCACCGGCCCCCCTTCTCGCCGGCCCCTGCTCACACCGGCCCCCGTCCACGCCGGTCCCTGCTCGCCGGCCCCAGCTCCCGCCGGCTCCAGTCCGCGCCGGCCCCAGCTCTCGCGGGCCTCTGCTCGCCGGCCCTTGCTCGCCGGCCCCTTCCGCGCCGGCCCCCATCCGTGTCGGCCCCAGTCGTCGCCGGCCCTAGCCGTGTCGCGCCGCCGAGCTGCCGCGCTGCTGAATCGCCGAGCCGCCAAGCCGCTGAGCCGCCGAGTCGCCGTGCTACCAGGCCGACCTACCGGCTTTGGCTTCCCCTCGGCGCCGGCGCTCCTGCCGGCCATCTCCACCGCTCTCCACGGCCCCCCCGCACTCCCCACCGCTCTCCACCGCTCTCCATTGCTCTCCACCGCTTTCCACCGCTCCCCACCGCTCTCCTCCTCCTCCAGCGGCTGTCTTCTCCTGCAGCTGTGGTGATGGCGGGCGCTATGCTTAGCCTGGTCGCAAAGGGTCACGCGGTTGATTTTGAGGCGTGGCTTGTCGACCTCCACCGTCAGCTGATCGGTCAGCGCCAGGACAGCTACTCCCTAGCCGTCAATGTCGACGGTAAGCTCCCCTGCCCTGACGCGCCTGGTCCCCTCTCTGACTCCCCCACGTCTGCTGAGAGTGAGGCCTTTGCCGCTGCTGAGCTTTCCCGCGCTGTCTGGGAGTCGCGGGACGCTGTAGCACAGATTGCTATCAGTCACGCCCACCCGCTGTTCGAGCGTCCCCGCTTTACGGCAGTAGCGAACGCAAAGGAGTACTTAGATGCGGCTATTGCGCGCTATTCCACTCCCTCCTCCGCCTTTGCCGGCCGTCTTATCCTCCCCATGCTATTCCCCGATCTTGCGTGCTTCCCCACTGTCGCTGATCTTGCCACTCATCTACGCGCACTTGAGATTAACTACCGTGCTGCTAGAACTGAGGCCGAGCTCGCTGCATTCCCTCCTCCCCACTGCGCTACCCTGTACCTCATTGTCACGCACCTTCTTGACCGCCTCGCCACTGCCCGCGACTACTTCTTAGCCAGCACCCAGGTGACCTCACCCTTACTGCCTTTGTCATCACCCCGTCCGCGATAGAGACCCGTCAGCGCACTATCGCTCAATCTAGCGATACTGTGGCGATCCGTATCTTCTAGGGTTGTGCTCCCTCCTTGTGCACTTACTCTGACGTTTCTGCCGCTGTCACTGAGACAGCCCCTAGTGATGAGACCGCCGCTGCGGCAGCCTCAGTGCAGCCTCGCTAGGGTAAGGGCCGCTGCCCCAAAGGGGGGCGTGGCGGAGGGAGGGGTGGTGGGGGTGACGGTGGTCATGGAGGTGGTGCGAGTGCCAGTTACGGTGGGCTGATTCCCTGAAGCAGCAGCAGCAGCAGTAGCCGCTCCAGCAACATTCACAGCAGCAGCAGCAGCCGTTGGGTCGCCTCCTGCCCGGGTGGCCCGGCGGCTCTGGTGGTGGTGGCCGCGATGGCGGCCCTCGCAGCTCAGCGTCGGGTGGCAGCTTCAGCTCTGTGAGTTGCCAGTACCGGCTCCAGACTGGTGTCTTTCGTGGTACTGTATATAGCCATCCCGATCACACTGCCGCCCGCTACTACTGCCGCCTCGACGACCTCTTCCGTCTCCGCTTCGGCCCTACACCGGACCTCCCCGACTGGCTCCGTCTCGTACGTCACCGTGTGCCGGTCTTAAAGATCGATATGGATCAGATTAGCTCTGCGTTGTATGCCTTGTATGGTGATCACTCTAGTGTGACTGGATCTTATAATCATGTTTCGCCTAGTGTAGGTGTGCCCCCTATGTGTAGTCTAGGCTCTCTTGCTGCGTCAGGCGTAGGACCTTCTGCTTTGTTTAGCCTTGGCTCCACGCTGGCCCCTCCGTCGGCTGACGCTACTGCTGCGCTCTCTTTCACGCTAGACACTGGTGCGTCCGCCTGCTTCTTTCGCGGCCACACCATGCTCACGCCGCTGTCTGCCCCTGCAGCTGTCGCGCTTGCTGATCGCTCCTCCGGTCCGGTAGTTGCACATAGCTCCACCACCCTTCCCTGTACAGCGGTTCCCTCCAGCTCTCTTACCGCCCTGCACATCCCCTCGTTCTCCAGGAACCTATGTGATGCCGGTTGTCTTCAGGACCTCGGCGTTACCACTACGTCTCTAGGACACGAGCGGTACGCAGTCTGTATCGAGGCCGCCACTGGTGCCCCTCTCACCACGTTCCCCCAGGACCGGGTGTCTAGCTTGTTTACGTTTGAGTATACCGCGTCCCCCCCGGTGGGGACGTCTCCCCATGTGGCTACACCTGCCCAGGTCGCTGGGGCTTGCTCGTGTCGGTCGCTCACTCACCCGTCGATTCTGTGGCACCATCGCCTAGGTCACCCCGCACTCCCGCGTCTGCGTGACATGTCCCAGCGCAGTCTTGTCTTAAGTCTCCCTGCATCGCTCCCTGCTCTTCCTCCCTCCCCTGCGCGGCCGTGCACGCCCTGCGTCGAGGGCCGGCTGCGTCGTCCTCCTCACTCCTCCTCACTTCCTCCTCTCACTGCGCCATTCTAGACCCTGCACCCGGACGTCTGGGGCCTAGCCCCCGTCTCTGGGCCGCATCGAGAGCGCTACTTTCTAGTGCTTGTCAATGACTACACGTGCTACACCACGGTGTTTTCCCTAGAGTGGAAGGCCGATGTGCCTGACATTCTTATCCCGTGGGTCGTAGTTGCGCGAGTCCACCGCGGCCTCCCTGTGCTGCAATTTCACTCCGTCCGGGGCGACGAGTTCGCCTCCGGTCGGCTTGGCCAGTTGTGTCGTGCGGAGGGCATCACCTACTCGTACACACTGCTGCACTCCCACCACCAGAATGGGGTCGCTGAGCGACGCATCGGTTTGGTCATGGAGGTGGCTCGTACCTACATGATCCATGCTGGTGCACCCCATTTTCTGTTGCCATTTGTTGTTCGCTACGCCGCTCACCAGCTTAACCTGTGGCCACACTCCCAGCGGCCGCAGTTTTCGCCGACCCTCCTCTGGCCTAGGACCCCTGGTGACACACGTGCATTCCACGTCTGGGGCTGCCTCGCTCACGTTTGTGCCTCTAGCACGGACAAGCTCACTGCCTGCAGTGTCCCTTCTGTCTTCTTTGGCTTCCCCCTAGACGCATCTAACTGGCACTTTTACCACCCGCTGTCTCATTTTTTTTTCACTCTCGTGACGTCACTTTTGACGAGTCTATGTCCTTCTATACCCGCTTTCCTCACCGAGGTCTCCCGATTACCCCTTACCTATTTCTGGCTCCCACTCCCCCGGAAGCCCCTGCTCCTCTCCCTCCCCGTCCTGCCCCATCTAGTGTGTCTCTCGTCACTCCCGTCCTGTCCCGGCAGAAAATTCGGCTGACTCTGAGGGCCCTGCGGCTCCGATTTTACCGCCAGGCTCTGCCCTGGTGTCTCCGCCGTCGCCGCTGTCGCAACTGCAGCAGAAGCCGCAGCAGCAGCCGCAGTCGCAGTCGCCGCCGCCGTAGGGGTCCGCAAGCTCTGGGGGCGCGGGCGTTGAGGAGGGTGCTAGTCCTGGGGGTACTGTCGTGGCTTGTCCCGGCGATCCTTGGGGTGGCACCAGTGCTGGAGAGGGTTCTTGTTCTAGGGGTGCTGTCATAAAGCCTCCCGGAGGTAGCCGTGGTGCGTCAGGAGGTTCTGGCATCGGCGTGGAGCAGCAGTAGCAGTCGCCGTCGGTGTCTGCCCTTCACTTCCTCGTTCTTCCCTCCCCCGACCGCCTGCAGGCGCCTCCCCCGCCGCCACCTCCCCCGCCTGTCTACGGCCTTGTTTTTCTCCGCCGGACCCCTCCCTAGCTCGTTTCCCCTCTTGTTCTCCTCCTGTGTCTCCTCCTCTATCTCCTGGCCCGACCGCCCCTCCTGCTGGTGGTCTCACCGTGCCTCTCGTGCTCGTCTTGTTTCTCCTGTCCAACGCCCTTACCCTATGTTGCTGCGCTCTCACGCATCTCGTGCTTCTCTTCTACCATCGCCTCGTCATTCGTCGCTTGTTGTCTCTCCGCCTCCTCTCTCTGGCGTCCTACGTGCCGTTAGTCCGCTTGTTTCTCGCGTTCTCGCCTCTCTTGTTACCGACCCGTCCGTTCCTGTCACGAGTCTTGACGCTCTTGTCGTTGCCATAGCTAACTTTGCCTCTACCCGCCGCCTTGACTACGCCACAATTCTGGTCTCTGACCCTTCCCTTCATCCGTCCGTCCGGGGTGCACCCGTATTTGGCAGTGACATCCTAAAGGACATGCAGTACGAGCTAGCTTTCCTGTCTGAGGCCGCTCCCCATCTCTGCTCTATGCAGCTCGTCTCTGAGGATAACCCCAACACCCTTGACATCCCGACCCCTCGCACTTATGCTGAGGCGACCTCGACCTGGGCCTCTCAGTGGATAGCTGCCATGAACACGGAGATGGCATCTTCGAGATCCACCGGCACCTACGTCGAAGCAGTTCCCCCACCTGGGTTGAACATAGTCAATGGCCGGTGGCTGTTCAAGATGAAGCGCCCTCCTGATGAGCCGCCGGTGTTCAAGGGGCGCTACGTTGCTAGAGGCTTCAGTCTGCGCGAGGGTGTTGACTTCTTCCAGACCTTCGCCCCGACCCCGAAGATGACCACTCTTCGAGCGCTGCTACACGTAGCAATACTGCGTGACTACGAGCTACACTCTCTCGACTTCTATACAGCGTTTCTCCAGGCCAGTCTACACGAGCAGGTTTACCTGTGCCGTCCGCAGGGCTTCACCGGTACCTTCCCTCCTGGGACTGAGTGGCTCCTCCGGCGCCTGGTCTACAACCTGCGATAGGCACCCCATGAGTAGCACAACACACTACGTACTACGCTAGCTGACCTGTCGTTAAATCCATCCTCTGCAGACCCCGTGCTCTTCGTTCGTGCTGGCCAGACTCTGTTCTACATCCTTTCCTACGTAGACGACCTAGTCTTCGCTACTGCAGACAGAGACGCACTGGCCTCCGTGAAGGCTGCGCTGTTGAGGAGACGCATCTGTAATGACCTAGGAGAGTTGCGCTGCTACCTTGGTGTAGATCTCTAGGGACAGAGCAGCGCGCACCATCACTCTTACACAGCCACACTTTGTGCACCATGTTTATCAGAGGTCCCGTCTTCATTTCTCCTCCGCACAGCCCACATCTCTACAAGTAGATCACATCCTCTCGGCTCCAGTCCCTGAGGAGTCTGTAGAGCCTTGTGGTCCATACGCAGAGCTGGTGGGTTGCCTTATGTACTTGATGACTTGCACTCGTCCAGATCTCGCATACCCTCTCAGCATACTGGCTCGCTTTGTGGCCACAAGCAGACACCGACCACAACACTGGTCGGCCGCTAAGAGGGTTTTGCATGATCTAGCAAGTACATCGGGCATGGGGCTAGTGTTAGGAGGACGTAGGCCGGTGGTCCTTACAGGGCACACAGACGCTTCGTGGGCGGATGATGCTGAGACACTCAGGTTCTCCCAGGGCTACTGCTTTAGCCTTGATGCAGGCGCCATTTCGTGGAGGTCCACCCGCTCGTCGTCTATTGCACAGTCTAGCTGTGAGGCTGAGATCTACGCTGGTTCCATGGCGGCACAGGAGCTCCGCTGGCTGACTTTCTTGCTCATAGGCTTAGGTGATCGGCCTAGCTCTGCCCTGGTCCAGTACGCTGACAACTGGGCCATGATCCTCCTATATCAGGAGCCTCGGCTAGAGGGCACAGCGAAGCACATCCAACCGCAGTACTTTCTCCTGCGCGAGCTACAGCAGCGACGCCAACCCCGGGTAGCTCCTCACTTGCTAGGACCTTGATTATGTACTTCTCTTTTATAGATTCTCATGAATGGCCTTGTGGCTTCTGTTCCGGTGGTCGAACTAGTAGTGCCGCTCTGGTTTGCTCTTGTCTAGTTTGTAGTCTTCTGACTGGTCTTCGGACCTTTGCCTCAGAGGGTGGACTAGTAGTGCTATCGTGAGCTTCGTGTCTCTTGCCAGGCGCTGGCCCTTGTCTAGCGTAAGGGGTGTGTCAATATATATTTGTATTTGTTTATAAGCTAGATAAGTGCATGCTCATAAAGGGTACAACCCCTCCAAACAAAACCACCCTGTATCTCTCATCCCAAATCATTGCATTATTCCGAGATAGGGAGCTTGGTTTGGTTGGCAATGGAAGCTATTCTATATGTCTAGCTCACCTGGCTCTCCATTGCTTTGGTTTCTGAAAAGAAAGATTGATTTCAAGACTAGCAAGAGGAGTTCACTTATAGTATAGCAGAAGTGGAACGACATGTTTGTAGAAGTGAACACGCGTTTAGGGGGGCCAGGATCTAGAGATGGTGTAGCCACGAGTAGAATTCACCGGAAGACTTTACAGTCTGCAACCTCCCTGCATGCAGAGACCTATACGCATGATGGAAGGCAGTGGGTGAGGGAGCAAGTGCATAACAATTGTAGCCATAGTGGTGCTAGCAATGCAACAGCCACATGCAATCGATCATGTCATTTACCCTATGTAGGACGGTTGCATTTATGAAGAGCCTCATCTATTCTCCTTTGCCTTTGCAGTATTATCATTATCCATGCATATTGTTTATGTTTAGACTCATTGGTGCATATACATTTTTAGAGTTGTTGTAAAAGATGCTCTCGTGCAACTAGGTAAAGATGTTCCGGTAAGATTTTTCAGGGAAGAACAGTTTCTTATCGAGGACGCCACCTGGACATGAGCCAATGCGGGATGAGGAATGAACATCCCCCAGAGCGCGTCGCGTATCCCCCCCATCGTCGCTCATTCGCTTTGACATTCGTGCCTTCCACGGAGAAATCGAAACAACCAATAGGAATGCAGAAACCACTTTCAATCCCCTTGAAATTCGTCGAGGTGTCCCATGCATTATAACCCTCGGATCTGATGCAACTTACGGTTCAGATGTCTCGGAATCTTGAGCGTTTCTCTGTCATGACAGAGCAGTGACGGTGCATGCTTCGGGAAGCCCAAGCCAAGCCAAACCAACCAGCTTCCCCCCCGTTTCACTTGGGAGTGGTGGCTGCAGGCAGCAGCATCTACAGGCACTTATTTCCCAGAGAGCAAGAAGAAGGTCTCCATCCAATTAGGTCGGACGGGTGACTTACCTTTGGTAACCATCCCCTGACCTACAGGATCTCCCCATCTCTACGGGCGACAGCTCGTCTGCTTGGCACTTCGGCTGCCAGCCATGGCTACCTCTCTCGCCTCTCCCATAGTTGGCGGATTGGTAGTTGCTCCTTCCTCCGCCAGTGAGCTCCAGGGCGCTTCCCTTCCATTGACGATTAAGTGCCCACCGTCGTCGTCCCAAGCGTGCAAGCACTGTGCCGTGTGTGGCCTTCGCTCACCCAAGTCTCCACATTCTACTTACTTCCGCAGAAAACAGGAACGCCCAGAGCCAGTAAAAGCTATCACTACCCTTCCTAGTCCTCTGACCGCTAGCATCTCTCCCCTGTCGTCGGTGTCAGACCTTATGATGCTCGAAAATTCGTTGTACGGGAGAGAATTTCTATTGGACTGTGAGTTTCCGGAAGGCGTAGACGAAGCTGCCCTCTCAAAGGATTTGAGTGAAGAGGAGACCGAACGGTCGTTGCTGGAGTCACAGTGGGAGCTTCCTTCAAAGGACCCCGAGCGCTCTGAAAATGGCTCTGAACCACCAGTCCAGCCTAGCAGTTTTAAAAAAGCTAGCAGAAACATTGTTGTTTCCAAAAGCATGTCAGCAAGGAAGCGCCGTATGCAGGCCAGGCGCAACCGAGATTTGCAAGACCAGACCGCTGATGCCAATGTCTTCCGTGTGGGCCTGGAAAGCAAAGGCAAGGGAGATGTTAGCGAGAAGGAGTCGTCGAGCGACTTCCTTGCAACTTTCCTTACTGAAATCGGGAAGGCCAAGCTGCTCACAAGAGAGGAAGAAATTGAGCTGTCAAGGAGGGTCAAGAAGTCAGTGGAGCTCCAGAACCTACGAGCCAGGTAGGCCTCGATCTTTCTTCTGCCCTCGTCGCTTTCGTCTTCGGCTGCTGAGCGTCATTCGTTTTTATGTTTCAGGGTGTCTGAGGAGCTCGGTCGAGAGGCCACACACGCCGAGTGGGCTAAGGCCCAGGGCTGCTCGGTATATTCACTGAGGAGGAAGCTGAGGGAAGGGGAGCTGGCCAGGCATAAGCTGCTCGCTACCAACTTGCGCTTGGTTGTCTCTGTGGCGAAAAAGTACTTAAGATGTGGCGTGGAGCTCTCCGATTTGGTTGCGGTAAGGACATCATGCTGCTTTCGTCCGTTCATTCCAGCGTGTAGGATGCTCAGCTCAGGAAAGCTGATGGCGGGTTTTCCTTCCATTACAGGCTGGAACAATGGGCCTTTCTAAAGGCGTGGAGAAGTTCGACCCCAACAGAGGATACAAGCTTTCTACTTATGTTCACTGGTGGATCCGACAGGTGAGAACCGTCTTACCGAGTGGTAAGGTTTTGTTGAGTTGCTGTCTGCAGCAGTTTTCCAACTCTCCCCTTTTGCTCACTGTCCCTTTCAGGCGGTGACACGGGCTGTTGCCGACCACTCGCGCACGATCCGGCTTCCTGTCCATGTGCACGAGACCCTCGGAAGATTGCGGAGGGCTAAGGCACAACTCGCGAGCGAAGGGGAAATAGCCAACGTCAAGGTGAGTGATGTTCAGACGAATTGGCTGTGAGCAGTTGGAAGACCAATTTGGCACTGATCTCAATGCGTCCGCATGTCTACAGAATCTCGCCAACACTCTGGGATTGTCGGAGCGGAAAATCGACAACGTTCTTAAGGTCAGTGTTACATGCCTTGTGTATCGTGGCACCTGTCGTTTCTTGTTTCGGTGACATGACAAGCGCTCCGTTTTTTTATTGCAGCTCAAGTACAAGACAAGGTCCATGAACGAAGAAGTCTCGCCAAACAACCGCATGGAGGAGGGTTCGACAATGGACAATGTGAGTGGCCGCTGTGGATTCTGGTCTGGTTGGTGCTGGTCTGCCATGTCTCTAGTCTAATACCCTTTCGTGTGTTTCTCCAGTTCATTGCAGATCCAGATGCGGAAACACGGCCCTGGAAAGAGTTGGAAGCGGATTTCTTGCAGGTGAACCTAGTAGATGTGCTCGTCTCTCGTTTTGGTCACTGTTTTGTCAACGTTTCTCACGTCCTGTACTGACGTGCTCGTCTTCCGCGTTGGCTACTATGTTGTCAGGCCAACGTCAAGAATGTGCTGCTTGATCAGCTTGACCCTCGAGAGAGAGACATCATCCGGCTGAGATTTGGATTTGGGCGAACCGATGGAAGGACAATGACACTGGATGTGATCAGCCAACGGTAAGTTTTGATTGTTCAAACCTTGTGTTTCCACTCTGTCCGAGTTGCTCACCAACAGCTCAAGTATTTCCACACTGTCTGAGTCGCTCATTTGATTTTGTCCTTGTCACAGATATGGGGTTTCCAGAGAGAGGATCAGACAGCTTGAGACAGTCGCTGTGCGCAAGCTGAAGCTTCTAAGCCAGGGCAAAGAGCTGCACAGGTATTGCTACTAGCAGTGCCAACGGAGCTGTGCAACTCGTGGCGATTTGTTGATAAAACATTTGCCAACAGAACCTGCTGCACTGGCGTTTACCGAACATGACCTGGGCTGGCTAGAGAGTTCTGCTGTGCGCAAGCAGCCACACCCCAGTAACTGTACAGGGAGGAAGATTGCATCCATCAGCATGTTTATTGTGGGATTGCAGCTGCCTCCGTCTTCTAGTAGCTTGAGTACTCTTTGAAGCACCATCCATAGAATTAAGTAATATGGAGATTTTGTTTTCCTACAATCGCCTGATGTAGTTTCAGCTGCTTAAGAAAAAAACTCCCACTTCAAACGCAAATTTCATGTGACAAGATCATGCCATGGCTTAGGCTTCGGGTTTTGACCACGGATTTGAAACAAGTAATATGGCGAAAACGTGTGAGCACTGTAATGAAGTCAAACGCGCCAGCTGCGGTACGTGCTTGGAAATTCACTCGCGTCGCGTCGCACGTGTGATTCATGACAATGTCGCTGGGCACCACAAACGCAAGGCGCGACTCGGGTACCAATCTGACGATTTATTTGCCTCGTCAATTTTCCTCCAGCGAACATCGGACGGTCCATTCCTCTCATGTTGTCCAAACGCCCTGTCAACCAATGTCTACCAACATTGCTGGCATCTTCAGCGCCCCTTTCGACCAATCCTGTCCCCGGCGACATTTCCTGACCAAATTCATTGCAGCAAATCTATCTTCGTGTCTTGTGTTGGAGGCTTGGATCGGGGCTCCAAGCAGGAGAGATACGTGAAGGGCTGCGTTCAGGTGTTACGAGATGCTGCTCGTAGTCCCCGTACGTCACACCAACCTGGCATCTAGAACGTAACAAGCCGTGCGTGAGCGACGAATACAGTATAAGGCCCCATTTCTTATTGTGTCCAGCAGTTGTGCAACGATAGGCTGCCTAATCGTGTATGTCGCACGCGGCACATTGGAACCAGCTATCTCTTTACCGTTAGATAGGGCTCTAGAAGCTCCTCTGCAGGGGACGTGCTAGTTGGTGCTAGTAGCCTTGATACGAAGGGACAATGACAAAACAACATCGAATATCAGTGGTTAGTCTGCTTCTTGTGCTGGCGCTAGCTCCCGTGCAGGCGGACGGAGGGCCGGAGGGCGGGAGGCAGCAGTCGATCGCGAAGGTCGAGAATGCGACGGCGAATGCGAAGGATCCGAGGGCGATGAACTCATCGAGCGGGGCGAGGGTGATCGATGATGCGAGGGCGGTGGAGGAGGCGAGGGCGATGACGGTGCTATTGGTGAAGGCGCCACGAGTTGCCATGGCCAACGCGCCTTTCCTCCAAACCCTCTGTCCGTATCGCGCTCGCGCCAGTATAGGAGCATTGTTCGCCCCTACGGCAATTTCTATGAACAATCTAAGAGATACCCCTTCCGCGCCCTCGAGCCTTTCGCGCTCCCTGCTAGCACCCCTACTACCCGCCCGCTTCTCCCTCCTACCCGCGGTGACAACCCCTCACCTTCCTTCCATACTCGCCATCCTCGTTACTACCCCTATCCCCTGTCACCCGTTCCTGTGAACCTTAGCCAGCTCTGCCCACTTCTTCGTTTTCCCAATTCCCGATCCCTTCCTCCCTCCCACTCCCCCGTTTCACCCCCCAATCCCCCAACCCCCCCCCCCCGGCTGTCCGCCCATCAGTCGACGCGCGGAAAGGAGGCGCGGCGACGCTCTTCCTCCCGCTGAGCGGCTTCCGCGTGCTGGCGGACGCGGTGGGGTACGACTACCCGCGCTTCAACCGCATCCTCAAGTACCACCTTATACCCGACGCGCGCTACACGATAGCGGATCTGAAGGCGCTGCGGGAAGACAGCATGCTGCCCACAGCCGAGGGCAGCGACTTAAAGGTCTTCTCGCCGCGTGGCGCGAAAATAGTGTGGCTACAGGGTCGATCCATAATTCCTGCGGCCGTGACAATACCGAATCTCTTTGTGGGGGAGAACCTCATCGTGCATGGGCTGAGTAGGCGGCTCATTCCCCCCTCGTTTTAGTCACAGTGCTCATGCCCCCCTCAAGTATGGGCCTGGTGTTTGTTACCTCTTGGTGACACATGTGCACTAATCGTAGGCGATAGTCAGTATAGAAGTGACCGTGATTTTGGCCTTTTGGTCGCAGGCGCATTGCCTGTCTTGTGTTGCGCACCACCACCAATCAAACTGCTCCTCCAATAGCGCTTGTGAGGGTGCACAGCTGTGGGATGGCTGACTGGCTCCTATCTCTTGCTCTGGCTTCTGAATCTCCAGATAAGATGTTCACCCGCTGACTGTAATAGCGCTGACAATGTTGTACAACAAAACAGGAGTTGGCCAAAAGCACATCCTCAATGAATTTTGTGAGGGGAATCTGCTCTAAAAAGCATTCATCCTGTGTAGCAGACTCTAGGTTGCACTGTAAAACAGAGGAATTTGTCCACAGCTAGTAGACACCCAATACTACAGTAAAATACTAAAGATACAGCCCTGGACTAAAGAGCCACCAGTTAAGTCTAGAAATACACGGCGTTTATTCGAACACCCGGATTTTCTATCCAGGCAAATAAAGGTGCGGTGCCACAAGCCTCATGCTGTGTACTTCCCACACCGCCCCCTCACCCAGCCCACCGCAGCTCAACCCCTTCACACGCCCTTCACACACGAGCCTGCCCCAGCAGACACATCACTCACTCCATTCAGGGACAACCCACTCATTGCTGGGGCCCCTCTCCCCCTCCTATCCCCAACACCTCCCCACCCCACTCTATCACCTCCCACCTTGCTCACCCCTTCCTGCACACTACCATCAGACAAGCACGAATCAGGGGCGCTTATAAGGGGTATGTCGCCCCGGAGCCTGAGGGAGCTCTGTCTGCGCCGCGCCCAGTCGCACTGAATGGACTGCGCCGCCCGGGACATGGGCCGCCGCACCTCCTCCCAATCCACTGTTGCCACGCGGGACATCAGCTGCGCCATCCCCTCGGGCTCCTTCACCATCCCCGTGCTGCTGCTGTCAACACGCCCTCTCACGCGCCCGTGTCCGTCTTGCCCCACTGACTGCGTCGGCAGCGCTGCTCCCAGCTCCCTGCTGCTGAGAGCGCGGTCAAGAAGTGGGCGGTTGAGGCTGAGAGTGCGGCTGGCTGAGATGCTGCTGCAGCTGAGTGCACGCGCCAGCAGGTGTGGCGGAATGGCGCCAGCAGAGACAGCCCCAGCAGCAATGGGGCCAGCAGACACAGAGGAGCGCGCGCTCCTGCTGGCTGAGCGGTCTTGTGCCGCCCAGCATGCTGCCGCCCAGGTGCTGTGGCGGGATTCAGCAGGGAGTGAGGGCGAGGGGAGGGACCGCGAGGAGAGGGAAGGCACAGAGGGGGCAAGGGGATGTCGACGGGGCATGGCAGCAGCAGGTGAGGTCGTCGCGGCAGTGGCAGCAGCGTGGGTGCCAGTGGCAGGACTTGCGGCAGCGATACCAGCGGCAATGGCAGCAGCACCCGCCGAAGGTTTTGAAGCAGCGGCAGCAGCAGCAGCAGGCAGGGAGTTGTGGGGGATGGTGGCAGGGGAGGCTGGGGGAGGCACAAGCGCAGCGGGTACAGCAGCAGTGGGTGGAGTCGGGTAGAGGCGTGCAGAGGTGCACTGTCTAACCACTGAGGCAAGGTCCCTCTCCGCTCTCTCGCCCGCACTCCCCTCCTCCCTCCCACCACTCCCTGCCGCCCCTCCCTTCACACCGCACACCACCACTTCCAACTCCTCCCACGCCCCTCCGTCGTCCTCCTCCTCCTCCTCCTCCTCCCCCCTCCCCTCCAATCCACAGCCCTCTGCTGCAGGCGGCGCCACTCCCAGCCCGTGCATGCAAGGCGCAGCCACCGCGGGACTCTCAGATGGTCCCTGACCAGAGCCCGGTGGACGGATCTCACACACGTCAGCACGGGTGGCATCATTGCCGTCAGCGCACACCGCCTGTGGCGACTGCCAGAGCTCCGCCTGTGCTGCCATGCTGGCAGCAGCCTCAAAGTCCATTGGTGCCACGCTGGCAACCCCCTCCACACTGATTGGCTGCGCGGGCCAGGAGAGGCCAATCGCCAAGCAGGGTTGAGTCACCGAGGCACATTCAGGCAATGGGTAATCGACCACAGGTCCGTCCTCTTCTGTCGTCCCTCCTAGCAGTTCACACACTCCCTCTTGTGTCTCCACCCCCATTCCTCTCCCCTTGCCTCCTCGCATGCCTCCCATCTCCATGTCTCCCCCCCCTCTGCCGCCCTCCTCCCCATCACTGCCATCCATCCCCTCCCCTGCTGCTGCCTCCCCCTTCCCCTCGCCCTGCTGCACCTGCGTCGCCCTCAGCTCATCGCTGGGCATGTGCTCGCTGTACAATGCGAGTCTTGGGTACTCCTCTAGGTTGGGCAGCAGCCTCGGTGTCAGGCTCGTATCCAGGTTCGGCAACCGAGGCGAGGGGCTCGGCATCTCGTCCAGGTCCGGCAGGCGAGCCCAGTCCACCTCAAGGTGCTCCTTGGACTCCAGCTCTGGCGGCACTCGTACTACCACCTGCAACTCCAGGCTCGGCAGCAGGTTCGGTGAGCTGCCCGAGGCAAGAGAGGCTTGGTCCGAGCCTGGCGCGCCATCACAGAGCAGTGACATGAACGGAAGTGCTGGCGTGCTTTCCTTAGGCCAGATTGACTGTATGGAGTGTGCCTGTAACGAGAGCTTCGGAGAGCCAATACTGCTGGGAGTTCTATTAAGTTGTGACTCAAACGAGGGACCCTGAGGGCCTAACGAGGGTGACTCCAATGAGAGATCGGCCAGCATGCTGCCGCTGCTCCTCGTATCGTTGTCAGTGTGAGAGGGTGGTGGGGATGCGGGCGAGGGGGTTGCTAGAGCAGCCGGAGGGGGCGAGGGGGCGGCTGCAGGAGGAGCGGTGGGATGGGGAGATGCGCCAGCAGCAGCAGCAGGGGCAGAGGCAGCACCGGACGCAGAGGCCAGCTGGTTTTCTGTCTTTTCCTCTGACCGCCGGGCCGCGCCTGCAGCATCTCTGTCCGCGCCCGTCCCCTGCCCGCCATGCCGTCCTGCCGCCGCCTTGCCGCCTTTGGAGGGCGTGGCGGCGTGCGGCGCGTTGGAGCTCCCTTGCCGCGAGAAGCACCCGCGCGACCGCGTCGTCGCCCCGCCCGCTGCGCTCTGCTGCGCGGACGAAGTCGCGCCCTCCGCGGGGAAGCTCCCCGCAGTCGCGCCGAGCCCCCTCGCCGCCGTGTGCGCCGCGGCTACTGCCTCGTGCAGCGCCTCCACCTCCCTCGCCGTCATACCGCCGCCGCCGCCGCCGCCAGTTGTCGCTGACGCTGACGCTCCGCGTCTCCCGCTGCCAATCACGGTCTCCAGCCACCCCTCTCCCGCGTCTGCTTCGCCGCAACTCGTCTGCCCGCAGTTGACGCGCGCGCCGTCCGCGGAGAGCTCCCCTTCCGCCGCCGAAGCATCCACGCGCGCATCCGCCTCGCCCTCGGGGTGCCCCGGGAAACAACTCTGCGCGCTAGGGGCCGGCGGCTCGCTGGTAGTCATCTCCGGCGCGCGAATGGAGCTCTGGCTCGGGCCGGACGTGGTCGGTTGCGCCGGGCTGGAAGCAGGCTCGGAAAGACCGAACGTGGGGTCGAGAAGAGTCCAGAGTTCGCAGAGAGTTTGGCGAAAGATGGGCGCTGGCGAAGGCAGTAACGAATGTCGCCGCGCTTTGCTCGCCAGAGGCTTCCCACTGACGCCGGCAGCCCTCCGCGTCGCGCCGTGATTGGCTCGTCCGCTCGCCTCGAGGTTCGTCGACGCGGGGGGTTGCGCCTTGGGGCTTCGTGCCCCCTCCGCCTTCGGTCCCCCCTCCGCGCACGCAGGGGAGGATTTTCCGCCGCTTGCCGTCCGCCTGACCTGCGGCCCTTGCCGGCCATGCGGGACGGCAGCAGCCGCTGCCGGCCTTGGCGTGACAGGAGCGTTTGCGGGGCAATCGAACGGCTCCCACACGAGCCCCGTGTACGCGGGCACAACCTTCGATTCGCCGCAACGTGCGGCGATTGGCTGCATCGCCTCGATCGACTCCCATTCGTTCAAAGACTCGCTCGGCGCGGCGTTCCCCTTCTTCCCTCGCGCCCGCTTCTGCTGCTTGCTGGGCCCTGCTGACGTGTCACTTTGTCGCTTTCTTTGCCCCCCTCTGCCGGCCGGCGCAGCTCCTTGGGCCGGCAGCGAGAGGAGGGCAATGGCGATGGGCGCGGGAGCAGCGGCCGGCGTAGCGGCGCAGTCTGTAGAGGCGGCATTCGGAGTGAATGCCAACGGCGAAACAGACAGGTCTTCTTGTACTCGAAACATGGGGCAAATGTCCGCCATGTCTTGTGACATAGCTCGAAGTTACCAAGAAAGGGCGCTAATAGCACTATGAAGGGGAGATGAGAGGTTAGTCTAGTGACGCTGGCGTGGCGGGTCGGATTACGCCGCCACTGCTAATGCCCTTCCCGGATAGGTGGCACCAGTCAATGATGCAGGAACTAATTAGGTCAGGGGTTTTAGTTGGCCGAAATTACGCGTTTCGTGCATCCAGGCGATGTCGCGTCGTCACGGTGACCAGAGATCGCGCGCACGAACTTACTATTGGTGGAGTTGAGCCGGGCATCTGCTATTGCCAGCCTAAGATTCAGGAGGTCGAAGCCATGCAAGAAGGTTTTGCGAGAGGCGCGAGTGAGTGAGGCGGTACGTCGGCGAGAAATGAATTATTGGAAGTGAATGGGCTTGCGAGGGAGATAATGAAGGTCGCGTGGTGGCAGAGGGAGGAACAAGGAGGCCGCTATGCTTGAGCAAGAGAGAGGAGAGATTCGATCGAACTCCAGTCAAGAGAGGGGCCCAAGCCACCAAAGCAGAGAGTGAGCCATCTCCCCTCCCCGTACATTCTCCGCCCAATACGAAAGCTCCATCAAACGCGTCACGCGCGAATTCCGCATCTCCATCGAACCGCATTCTCTTGCGCCCACAGCGCCAATGGCACCCGCCTTCCCCGAGCCTACTCCAACCAACCGACCAAGCTGGTTTGGGAGCCATTGAGAGCGTCGGATTATGGATATCGTGATCCCGACCGTTCTAACGCGTTTTAAATTATCGATGGTGGAGGGGCGAGAGCCAATGGTGGGTCCAAAATGGGCTGCAGTCATTCTGACAACGAGGCGGTTTTCGTGGCGAGAGTTACGTGTACAATACACTTTCTTTTGTAGCTCAGTTTATTTTTAAGCGGGTGCTTTGCACTCGAGCACATGACTTTCATGGGCGCATTGGGCCAATATACGGTAGTCTGGTTACCTCGTTGGCATTTTCCCGTCTAAAGCGGGTGACCATTGTTGTTTGTTTTGCGTTTCTCGGGCAGCAGTGTAAGGTTTGTTTTGTTTTGAGAACGTCCCGTCTGCACGTTTGGAGGCCTCCGCATCAGATGTGGTAAAGTTGCAAATTTTTGGGCCTGTGTCGATTGGGCCGTTTCCCGTGAGTTCGAAGAAATGGACCTGTAAATAGACAAGTAGCATCTAACGAATAGACGATTCAATGGACGTCAGGTGCACGACGCTCGCACCCTGATTCGAAACGCAGGTATATGCGTAGATGTGTAACAACAATACGATTTAGCTGTTACAGCACCTAGTAGAGGCACATTTCCTTCGCTCATTATGTGCTATTATCGCATCGCATATTTGCCATCTCTCATACAAATAGATATTCAGACCCATAGACTACATGAGATTGAAGAAACACGTGAGGAATATTATACCCTATCCAAATCTAAGTAAATGCATTCTTGTCTCGTGTAATAGAACACCGAAAGTCCATCTTCTCAAAGTGGTGTCATACCGGCAAGTTCATTCAGTAGGCTGGAATGAACCAAAGCCACCAATTATCCCACCAATTCACAAAAGGTACTCGTAAATCATAATGACCGCAGGCATATGCTTTCTTTCCCAACCAAAGCTATGCAGCTAGGTCCATCATCGCCCCCATAAACTTTCTGCCACAGCATGAAAGAGTTTCCCACTGAACGTACTGCCCTGCCCACCCCTTCCCAGTCGCTTCTAGCAAGCTGCTGGTTATTCCCTGAGCACCGAATGGTGTGGACACGAGCCACAGCTCTCCCCTCTCCACCTGCCATGGCCCGTATGCACACCTCTTGCTCACCCCCCCTCCCAAACGATCGTCACGGACACGAGTGCAACTACGAATCACCACAACAACACCAAAATGCCACAGCAAGCTCGGCCACTCGTTGTGTCTTGCACCCCACTATCAGCTCCACTAAAAAGCCGTGGCGTGCAGCAGAGCGCCACTCTCTGCGCCTTGCACCGCCCGCCCTCTCACGGATTGCACACGTTCTGGTCCGTGTGGCACCCCACCTCGTCGTCCAGGCAGTTCCCCGCCACCAGCAGCTTCGCCGGGCGTGCGTTCGGGCAGATGCCCTTCACGCGCGGCGACCCCGAGAACGAGTTGTTCCGGGCATCCAAAAAGAACTTGCTATTGGCTCCCAGCACGGGCTGGGGCAGCGGGCCAGTGAACTCATTGTTAGCCAGCACGAGGCGGAGCAGGAAGGAGAGGTCGTTGAGGCTGGCGGGGAGATCGCCCGTGAAGCCATTGCTGCTCAGATCCAGGGACGTCAGATTCGCCAGCAGCCCAATCTCATCGGGGACTGCGTCGGAGAGGCTGTTGTTCTGCAGCTGCAGCGCCTTGAGGTTGGACAGATCGCCCATTTCGACGGGAATTGAACCCGTGATCTCGTTCCACCCCAGGTACAGCCCCTCCAGGCTCAGGAACTCGCCCCACGTGACGTCAGAGAGCGTGATGCTGAGCTGGTTGTTGCCCAGGTTGAGCTGGCGCAGCTCGCTCATGAGGGAGATTTCCGTCGGGAGGGAAGCGATGCGATTGGACGAGAGGTCCAGCGTGTCAACGGTGGCGGAAGACGCGGGGAAGGTGACGGGGATGTCGGAGATTAGGTTTCCTGATGCGCTGAAGGTGAGCGTACCAGACGCTAGCTCGGGAAGAGCAGCGGGGAGGGCGGTGAAGAAGCAGCGGTCCAGGCGGCTCGCCTGCAGGTTCGTCAGGCTAGAGAGCGCGTCGGGGATTGATCCAGAAAAGTACGAGTCGCTGACGTTGAGCGCCACGAGATTGACCAATCCGCCGATCGCGGGCGGCAGCGCGCCGCGGAGAAGCGTCTTGGAAAGGTCGAGGAAGGTGAGCTTGGTGAGCGCCCAGATCTGGTTCGTCCCGCCGTAGAACGTGTTGTTGCTTATATCGAGGTACTTCAGCTTAGGCAGCTTCGATAAGTACCACGGGATCGGCGCGACGATCTCGTTATTAGCGAGGATAAGCGTGTCGAGGTTGGTGAGGTTGGTGAGCGCCATGGGGATCCCCGCGGTCTTCCAGCGCATGCTGGCGGAAGAGAAGTTCAGGCGGAGCACGTCCCCCGCGGAGTTGCACGACACGCGCAGCCATTGCGCGCAGCTCCTCCCCGCGCGCCACGTGCTGCTGCCCGTGAAGTACCCGAAGGCTGTCTTGAGGCTCAGCAGCGCGGACTCCTGCGGCACCTTTATGGTCTGCGCGCTTGCGAGGCTGCTGTAGGAGAGGCTAATAGCGAGGACAACGGAGAGCAGCAGTAGGAGCGGGATGGGTTTGCTGCCCTTGCGGGTAGTGGTGACGGTGTTACCGCGTGAATGCGCCATAGCTGGGGCGTGAAACACGGAGGACCAAGGAAGGGTGGACGGGGCGCGATGGGAGAACTATCGTTGCCAATGTGTTGAAACTAAGAGGCAGGTTGCTTGTCGCGCATGCTTAGAGCTTTCGGGCAGTGCTTAGCGGTCTATATACTGTGGACGTGCAGAGGGTGAGTGGAGGAGGAAGTAGCGCCAGAAGACGAGAGGTTTATCGAGCCACTGTAGGAAAAGATGCGGCCTCTGTGACTGCGGCACCCCACTGGGGAGGACGGCGGCGGAGCCTGGAGTCGCGCGAGGCGAGGGTTTAAGCGGCGCGGCGGAGCGCGAGTTGAAAACGAAAGGGCATCACGTCAGAACAAGTCAGGAAACTAGGAAAGAATGGGGGAAGGAAATCTGAATGACGGATGGCGGTTCCTCGCCTCGTGGCTTTGTCTTCGATCCACCTCACTTGAGCTCCACCAGAGGGAAGGCGGAGGGGCAAAAGCCGCTGGTGGGTGGGAGAGTGAGGGGCTGCACTTGCACGCAGGATGGATGTCAACTCGGCCGTACGTTTGCCGAGCATCCTCTCCCTCGCGCAAGCTCTTTTCCGAATTCGTTACATCTCGGAAAACTGGCTTCTCGGAACAGCTGCAACTCCACCAGCCCGACAACCTGGAAAGGGGGAACGAGCGGAAAACGGCGGAGCAAGTTGAGCCAGCGCGAGGCGGCTTGGTGCCGCCACCGAGCCGAACTCCGGAGCTGGATGTCATGGGCTTTGGTCTGGTTGGTCCACCCAGACCTACTGGGGTGGCTTGTCGCGTAGTGCACATGAGAAGGAGCTCCACCTTGTTTGGAGTCCAGGTCGTAACTGGAAATTACGGCAGGTGGTGAAAACTCGCTAGTGAGAACCCGCTATTAACGACCAACGAACTAAGTGAGAAGGGGTAAATGGGCAACCAGGGTGTTAGCTCTCATGCCTTCTTTCACAAGTGGTTCTTTATGCTTCGCAAGAACATGGACAAATCAACAAAATCAAATGTCTGATTGGGGAAGAGAATGGCGAGCCACTTTCACATTGGCTTGGGTTTGTACTTGGATGGGAGACTCTAATCTATATGGGTAAAGTGTACCACTAAGCCATCCATGTGCTACAACCAAGGTGTTCTAGGTTGTGCTGACCTGTGAGGCACTGAGAAACCTACAGCCATGAATTGAAAAATGTGGCCTTCCCAGGAATGTTTATATTCCACAATGCAATGCTCCATAGATGGGCAACTAGCAAGTATTCCTAACCAGGGCTCACAGCTGACACATGAGCTTATTTCCAGTCACCCCAATGACCCACCCACGAAGTTCTCACTCGAAAAACAGCCCCAGCCCCCAGATCCCTGCCTACTTATCTCGCGCACACGCGCTGGTTGGTGGAGCAGTCTGCTTCGTTATCGAGACAGTTCCATGCCACCCTCAGCTTATACGGGTGCGCATTGGGGCAAACCCCCTGCACCTTGGGTGTGCCAGTGAACGAGTTATTCCTCGCGTCCAGGTAAAACCCGGTCTCCGCTCCCAGGGCTGGCTGCGGCAGTGGGCCGCTGAAATCGTCCCCTACGATCACCAGGCGCATTAGGGACTGAAGCTCGTTGAACCCCAGGGGGAAATCCCCTCCGTCGCCCAGGGAGGGGTTCAGGCCAATGTCCAGGGAGATTAGGTCCGTAAGGAGAGTGAGCTCGTCCGGCAGGGAGCCGTAGAGCTGGTTGGTGTGGAGGTGCAGGTGCTTGAGAGTCGTGAGCGCCGCGAGGTCCGTGGGAATGGTGCCGTTGATGGCGTTGCGGCCCAGGTACAGCTCCTCGATGGCCGCCAGCTCGCCCCACGCGATCTCCTCCAGCGGCGTCGAGATCTGATTCGACGCCAGGTTCAGCACCGTCAGCTCGGTCATCAGCGCGATTTCCGTCGGCAGCGTCGTGAGGAGGTTGCCCCACAGGTCGATGCTGAACACGCCCGCGGCGGACGCGGGGAACGTGATGGGGATGCTCATGAGGAGGTTTCTCTCCGCCGAGAAGGTCAGGTTGCCGGGGTCCAGCGCGGGGAATTCGGGCGGGAGCGCCGTGAAGAAGCACGCGTCGAAGCTGCTGTACTGGAGCTTCGCGAGGTTGCTGAACGCCGCGGGAATGGCGCCGCGGAAGTAGTTGGACGACACGTCCAGGTACGCGAGGCTCGTCAGCGCGCCCAGGCCCGCCCCCAGCGGCCCGACGAGCAGATTGTGGGAGATATCGAGGTACGTGAGCTGAGATAGCTTCCAGATTCTGCTCGCGCCGCTCCCGTAAAAGCGGTTCAGGCTCAGATCGAGTCGCTTCAGCGTGGTGAGCGTCGTAAGGACGCTACTAATCTCCGCGGTGAGGCTGTTGTTGTAGAGGCTGAGGAAGACGAGCTTGGAGAGGACGGAGAAGGCGGGCGCGATGCCCACGCCCGTGAAGCGAATCATGGCGTTCGCGAAGTGGATGTGGGTGACGTCACCCGCGCTGTTGCACTGCACGCGCTGCCACTTGGAGCAGTCCTTGCCCGCCTGCCACGTGGACTGCCCCTGGAAGTAGCCGTAGGCGCTCTTGAGGGACAGCATCGCCGTCTGCTGCCCCGGTTTAATCACAGCCGCGTTAGTGTAGAGCGAGGAGGACGTAACGACGAGCGATAACACGAGGAAAAGAGAAGAAATGCTTCGAGCCATTGCGTTGGGTTTGAAGGCTTTTGCAGTCAAAATGCGGATAAGGAAAAACACGCTTGCGACGATGTGGGAGCAATTTGCTAGCAACGAGATAACAAGAAATGGGAGCACGGAGGTGGTTTGTCGAGTGAGCGAGCAAATACGCTCTGAATGTGAGGCAGGGGAGGAACATGCGAGGGGGGTTTGGGGGGGGGGGGGGGGGGGGGGAGGTGGCGGCAGGGAAGGGGGAGAGAGTCTGGCTGCTTGTGTTGATCAAGAGTGGTACGGTAAGGGAAGCCGCAAACTTGCGCAGTTGTGTCAAGGGCGGTTGGGTGGCGCTGGTTTGGCAGTAATCGCCTGCTTGCTTGGTTGCCTTCCGCCTCGCTGATTGGCGCCAGGTGTGTGCCATACCGCTGGCCCAGCCTGATTTGGGTTTTGGTGGGAGCGGCATGGCGATTGCTGACTGCCGTGACGTCTCTTCCTGACTAGGACTAGGTGTGGCATTCGGCTCGGACAGCGTGGTTCGGATTTAGGGGTGCTCGCCATGTGCGGGAATTACCAGAAACAGTCGAATTATGCCAGGCGTTGTGTGCATCTGTACTCAAGCCAATCACAGGGTTTCTTTCCGATGCCCGACACGAGTTGAGGTTTGATGCCTCTCGAAGTACAACCAGGTTCCCTCTGGGGTATATATTTTGGGCTGCCTAGGAACCATTTTATTGGCTTGAGTACAAGTGCAAACGAGCTTTGGCATAATTTGAGCATAGGCGAAGTTGTCCCCGCCATGTGTGCCCCGAACTTGCGCTGTTGTCTTGCGCGCTTAGGCTTGTCTCTCGCGACCTTGGCTACAACCACGTCAGCACGAGGTGAGGCCCGCCGCCAACAGCTTTGGGTGGAGGCTGGATACTGGAAAGGCATGGCCAGGCCAGCCGGGCCTCACTTGCGCCTCGAGCCGCGATAATTCTCGCTTGGCTCGCACTGCTAGGCGGCTGTTTTGTCGTTTTCGGCTCCCAGCACTTACTTCGACAGCACGATACCAAACATTAAGGAAAACGACTTGTAATGTTTAGCGAAACTTTCTCAAAACGAGTACCCAAGTTCCCAACAGCATTTCACCTCTGCGTTATCTCATCATCCGCACCACCTGCAATTCCACCTGATCATCGCCTGGCAGTTCCATCATGCTGTAACTCCCCCACTCCCACCCATCCACAACCAGGTCCCAGGAAGTCAGGGCATTTTACGCAGTTGTCTTTTAAACCGATTGACTTTTAGTGGTCCCTGCGAGGAAGGGTGGGCGGCTGGCAGCACCCTGTAACAGCACCAGACAAGATCAGACTTTCGTGCACCCAGAACCTAGACTCTGCTGGCAATGATTCGGCTAAGTAAGATTGTCAGTTGAAGCGTACTACACCAAACTCTGGTATTTGTTGAGTTACTGAGAGACTAACTGGCGAAATATCGCTGAAGTCCAGAGTACGCAGGGGGAGTGCTGTCACCATTTCGGACTGCAATATCATTCTACAGCGGGTATGCTCTATACTCCAAATCCGAGACTCGCAAATATGGACTACACATGGTGCCCGCCGGAGGCCTAGCTCAATACGTGGCCCAATCAGGAACCATCGCCCATTAGCGTTGTCACACGGGCAACGGCCCACTCAACGTGGGCCGTGAACAGAGCCAGCAGTGCAGCGTCATCATGACAGCGGTGACAAACATGCGGCACAAGACGAAAGATGTGCGCCGCAACCTTTTTCGCCACAAACTTCCAGCCGCGCTCAGAATAGCGCTCCGGCGAAGGTCAGCGAGCCTTTCGTTGAGCTCGCAAAATTACACACGCCTCGCTGGGTTTGTTTGTGGCTTGAGCGTCGCCGCATGAAACCGAACGCTGACTTGGCAGCGAAATGGAGTCGCGATGTCCCGATGCCAGGGGTCGTTCTCAACCTCCGACAGCCAACCCAGGAACAGACTCGAAAACAAATTCCCACAATCCACGCAGTAGTTATTGTTGCGACACGAACCTTCAGTTCGTAATGTAAGAAATATTTAGAACACGCCCGTAATATTTGGAGCTGAAATGCGACTCCAACACCTCACCCCATCACTCTGAGTATAAAAGGGAGCAAACCAAACCAGAAAAAATCACTCAACATCTCACCCGCCAACCACCACTCTGGTGCTACACTAGAGAAACTCACTCTCGCTTGAAAGCGCCGAAACTTAACATAGGGTAACTAAGTGAACAATGGCTCGCCAAAATATGCCACTCAAACCTACCCCGCAAAACATCAAAATGGTAACCTTCGTGCCCGTGCGAAAGGCCCACATGCCCGTGACGATGCCGTGCGAAACCCGTGCGCGTTTTTGTCTACCGGCACCCCGAAAAGTTGTGTTCCTCTGTTAGGCTCAAGGTGTACGACGAATAGGAGCGGCACGCAACGGGCAAAATGGATAATAGAGTAGCACGAGGGATTTTAGGTGGGGTGGCGTAGGCCGGTTTACTTTTTTTTCTTCACAATGGGTGCCTTGGCGTATTGGCCACTGGGGCCAGGTTACCAGCGATTTTGCCGAGTGTCATGTGTGGGCTCATGTGGCCTCTTAAAAAACGCACAGCGAATTTGTCGTCTGGTCAGAAACACGGGGACAAAAAAAGTAGCACCTCGTTCTCGACTTCCTTACAAGCAGCGCAGGCTCAAAACGCGCAAAACAATTTATTTGGAAAACCCTTTTTCGTGGTCTCACGAAATGGGCTAAACGGAGCGAAATTTTGACGACTTCATTGAGCGGTTTCGTTAACCAACCACACGTTTTTACGAAAGCGAAAAAAAAAACCCTTGAGAAAAACATTTTAGGGTTTAGGGTTGTTAATCCTGATTGAGGGAACGAGCGTCTTGTTTTCGTATTTGGGACGGACCTATTCGTGTCACGAAGGAAGCCCGAATATTTACGTGATTGGTTGTAAAAAATGAAGAACGACCCGACTGATCTTGACACGAGGATTAGAATAGGACCGTAATCGTAAGACAGAATGGATGAAAAGGGGGTACGTAGGCATGCACATGCCAGCGCGCATGCAAAAGTGCCAGATGGAGGGAGTACTAGCGGACTGTCTGTGATTTTGTTTTCGCCCCCCCTGTCATGATTACGTAGCATCGCCCTGGCAAGTGCGTATTAGCTGGGCAAAACCAAAAAAAATTCATGGGGATTTTCCGAGCTCGTCCTTGCGGGTTGGTTGACGAAGCTCGCATGCTGAAATCGCACCCAATTCGGGTGGCGTGAGTCGATGGTCGGTGGCATTATGCGACTGTTGTGACTGGTCACTATGTTTATTGCGTTTTTTTGAGCGAAGTCTAACAGTAGATGTATACCGTACAGACGGAGTACATCGTGGTGGATCGTATCGAATTCCGGACGTTAGAGTATTATTATGAAGTACAATGTCATGGACCTAATGGCATATCCGCTGTACCCTGCAGGATGAAGCTCCATCCGCCCCTGCTCGGGAACTGGCTGGGTGCCCCAAAACACATCGAGAGCCCTGCTCCCACCCCCCTGAATACAGTAACTGCTGCAGATGGCCCCTTTTCTTCCCTCCCCCTCTTTTCCCCCCGTCCCCCACTTTCCACTTTCCCCATCCCCATCTGCGCGCAGGCACAACCTCCCCCAGTAAGTCCTCGGTCGATGCCACACGCCACTGACCACCAGAGAGCAGAGCTTAGACTCGACAATGTGGAACCAACGCTCCATAATCGCCGCTACTAATGGCAGAAACGCCTACTACCATCTCCTAGCCTTTTCACTTGTTTAGCTTGAGCCTGGCCTCGACATTTGTACGGTTTCAGAATTCGGAGAACCCGAAATTTTTAGTACGAGCTCTGTCCGCCTTAATAGATCCGTTTGCGAAACTATCACACAAGTTCGCGCTACTAACGTTCCCGTGAGAGGCCCAATGGCGGCAGACGGTTGCCATTCCTCATGAGCCGCTTGTCCGACCGAGTCGTTCCCCAGCATGAAGCCATCCCTAGTCTACTCTCTCCTCCTCCTCTTCTTTCTCCCAGCCCCCTCTAACCGCCTTGTCGCTTCCGTCAAGATCAGGCCGTCGCAGGAGGACGCATTATTAGCCCTCAAGAGCGCTTATAGCGGATTCGCCGGCTCCACCTCGTGGGCGAAAGGCGCTGACTGCTCCAAGTGGGCTGGCGTCACGTGCGGGCCCGTGGGGAACGTTCTCCGCCTCTCTTTAAACAGTTCCGGTATTAAGACCCCCGTCGCGGGAATACACTCCAGCTTATCGGGTCTCTCGCATCTGCAAACGTTGAATCTCGCGAATAACGCCCTGCTAGGCCCGCTCACGACGACTCTCTCTAAGCTGACTCGCTTGCAGCACCTAGACCTCTCGAGCAACCTCTTCAACAAGAACCCTAACTACATCTGGGGACTCACGCAACTCACTTACCTCGACATCTCTAAGACGCTCGTCAGCGGCCCGCTCTCCCCGTCCATCGGCGCGCTTACCAACCTCGAGGTTCTCAACGTCTCCAACACTTACCTCGCAGGCGCCATTCCCGACGAGTTCAGCAGCCTCGTGAAGCTGCGATTCGCGCACTTCGACAAATGCTTCTTCACGGACCTGCCGGCCATGTTCCCGGAATTCGACAGCAGCGCGTCTAATCTGACATTCTCGGCGAGCGTCAACCTGCTAGCCGACATGCCAATCACGTTCCCCGCGTCGGGCTCGGGGGTCGCCTCGATGGACTTGGCGGGAAACCGGATCGCGTCGCTCCCGACGGAGATCGTGCTGATGAGCGACCTGACGAGCCTGAACCTGGCGGGAAACGGCATCGTGGGACAGATGTCGGACTATGACTGGCCGATTCTGGAGAACATCGTAGGGCTGTTCTTCGGGCGAAACCTCCTGGAAGGCAAGGTTCCCGTGTCCATAAGCACGCTCACTAAGCTGAAATACTTCCATTTCGGGGCCAACGCGCTCAAAGGAAGCCTACCCGAAGAGCTGGGGAACCTGTCAGAGCTCCTAAGCCTGGATCTTAGCAGTAATGCGGACCTAGGAGGCTATTTCCCGGTCAGCATCAACGACCTGCCGAATCTGACCCGGCTGGTGCTGTCTGGCGACAGCTTCACCGGGCCTCTGCCTCAGCCGTTCCTGGGAGCTGTGAGCAGCTTCGTTCTAGACGTCCGGAACAACTCGTTCTCTGGGTCTCCCATTATCCAGGGTGTTTGCCCCGCGGATTACCCCACGCGGCTGAAGGTGGAGCTGAACTGCCTGGATGTGCTGCCCGACTGTGAAACCACCCAGGCCCAGTGCTCCTGACCGCGTTGGGTCTGGTGGAGTGGGAAGGGAGGAGGGACTGCCGCGTGGCGGCAGAGGAGGGGGTGGCAGGCACAGAAGGAGGGGCGCAGAGGAGGAGAGCACAAGGGGAGGTGCAGGGAGGGGGGCACAGGGAGGGGAGGCACACGGAGGGGAGGCACAGGGAGAGGAGGCACAGGGAGTGGATGCACAGGGAGGGGAGGCACAGGGAGGGAAGGCACGGGGAGGGGAGGCACAGGGGAGTGGAGGTACATGGGTGGAGAGCGGGCTGTGAGACAAACGGGGTGGACCTGGGTCAGCAGAAGAGGGATGCTAGACAACGCAGGTCGTACGGCAGGCAGCAGGCATCACACATCCCCCAGTTCTTATTCCATTTTATAGAAGAGGCCGCAGTTATGTTGCTGCGCCAGCTCTGAAAGCAGCTGGAAATAACTAGGGGCCTCTAAGATTGCATCGAATTGCAAACCAAGTGGAATGGGACCAACTTTCCCCTATGCGTATTTTATCATCGGTTGTGTATTGTATGTTGATTCCATTTGCCAACTAGATTTGGTGAGTTTTTCTATGCAACCTCAAGGACTAAACTAATCAGAAATACATTTGTGACTCTTGTGTACCACTTAGTTTCCGAAGTAGGACTTTATAATTTATAGGCTTCATAGATCCTAACCATGTTCATAAGGGTGTCTATTTATCTATGTTTGAATTCTGTGCTCACTTCGAACCGCCTTTCATAATCGCACGGTATCACAATCACACGCGCCTAGCGACATTCGCGCCCTGGAGCGACCAACCACGGCTCGACCACATTCACTCTGTTGTCGTCACCTGCCTCACGTGAAGAGATTTCCACCGGCCTACTCGCGCCGCCAAGCATCGCGAAACTTTCTCGCGACACTTTCATGCTTGTCTAACGAAGGAGATGCTACCGATGGAATCCGCAGAGAGTGATTGGCCATCTTGGCAGCAAAGCTTCTTTGGCGACTGTTTCATCAGTTCGCATCTGTTACCAAGTAGAGGAATTTGGGGATGCGACAGGCAGAAGATACATCTGCGACAGCAGCGAAAAGGGTGTATCTGGCGACGGTGTGTGCCATCCTATATCAATGGCAGCAAGAACAAGATCAGCTTCGCCTGGGGCCTCCTCCAAAAGCGCGAATAGCGGCCGAGGGAAAGGCGGAGAATCCAGGGTTTGCCTTCGGTGTGGTGCTTTACGCGTAACTATCGAGAACCTGTCCATCTTTCTTGGCTCTAAGCTGTTGTGTCGAGTCGAGTCGGAGTAGCCTTGCTCTGTTGCCCCGTCACACGTGCCATTTAGGATTGACACCACAAGTGACCACTTCGTAGTTAGACTGGGACTAAAGCAGCAACCTTTCTTGATCGACCAGACCGCAATAGTCGGAGCTTGCAGCCGTTCTTCCAAGGAAATCTTTTCCCCTAACGCTGCGCCCAGCAGTGCTTCCCAAACCGCAGTCACGCTTGCCGTTTTAGACTGCGCTTCATAGCTGTGCGCAGTTTTGGACTGAGAACACGTATTTAGAGAGTAAACCCACAAGGCGCTATGAGAACGTCCGTTAAATTACTCGCAATATTAGTTCTCGTCGCGGTGTGGCAACAACACCAAGCGACTGCGGTGAGTCCGCGAGAGGTGCGGAAGGCGAGCGACAGCATCAAGCAAAGACCTGAGTTCAAGCACGTACATGACTTAATCGACAAATACCGTGAGTGCGCTAGTGTTTCTAAAACGACCTGAATTCAACCACATGCCTATTCAAACTATTATTTGAGGAAGTTGCGCAAGAGCAGCGGCTTTCGCGTGACTTCGAGCGCGTTTCTTCGTCTCGGGTTGCGCGTTTCTTCGAGCGCGTTTCTTCGTCTCAGGAAACGCGCGTGTGACTTCGTCGCGGACTCGGGCTCAGCATCTCGGGTTGCGCCTTTCTGTGTCTCGACTCCGCGTCTCTACGTCTCGAGTCCGCGTTTCGTCTCATCGTAACCATCGTACAAGCTGGTGCAATGGCTGTCGAAAGCGCTTTTGGATCACGCTTGCATTTAGAAACTTCTTGTCTTGCAAACGGAACCGCTTCTGGCGCGTTCGGCGCTTTTCAAATAACTGGTGTTCGCGGTGTCACGCCCTCGCAGCAAACGTGTGTGTCTCCCATTGGTGTGGAATGAAGTAGCATCCTTTCTGTGGAATGAGTGGCCATGCCGTTTTGGGTGGACTCTCCGAGTCTCAATACCCTCTCTCCCGCTTAGTTTGCTGTTCACCGTCTTCGCAAGTCCTCCAGGGGCGCAATTTGACCTCCCCCCCCCCCCCCCCCCCCCCCCTTAATATATATATATATATATATATACATATACTAAATAATGATAATAATTACTACTATCTTACTCCACCTCTTGCCCCGATTTGTATTTCTCTTTTTGCCAGTGAAGTCGCTCATCCCCCTTTCAGACGTCACCATCTTAATACCAGCGGGCATCGCGCAGCTGTACGCGTACACGGCGGCCCAGCAAACGACGATCATATCGTACAACACCATCGACACCCGCTACCTCTACCGCAACTTCACCAACATGAAAGGCGGCACGATTCTGGGCTCGCTGGAAGGCAGCAATATCATCAAGCGCGGTCCTAATTACCAACCAGTTGTGGGCTTCCAAGGCACCGGAGCTGCTCTCTGGAGCATGCTGGTGGTGCCGAACCTGTGGATTGGCTCGGACTTCACGATTCAGGGAACCACCACGCTCCTCATCCCGGCAGATTTGTGACGTCGTGCAGCTGCTGGTGTGGGAAATGTGGGGGCGGGGGAAGTGGTGGCCATGATGTGGGTTGATGGAATGGGAGGGCATCACCATGGGCTTGATTTGGTTGAGGCGACGCTGTATTGGTATGATTTGCCATTCTGCTCCTAACCCAGGCCTGGAAGGTTATGAGGTGATGTAACATCCAGTTGAATTGCAGCCACAGGTGTAGTTAACAGGATAATAATAGTAAACTAATGATGACGTTAATATGCGTGTACTTCTCTGTAGCAATTAGAATTTATGCATTTTTGCCGAGATGAGAGGCAAAACATTTCTACTGTTGTGGCTTTTTATTCAAGCTTGACTTTTTAGTTGCAGTGTTTCATGCGGGATGATGGCATGGCATTCCGTCAAGATGATTGGTTCGTTTTGACGTTGATTGTCAAGTTGCACTGTGACTCCATCTCTTTTCGAAATTTATTGGAACCTTGAGTTTTTAGTTGCATGAGTACAGTATTGTTGGAAATATCTCAAAGTGTCAGACATGTGTATTTGTCATGTTTGTATAGACTGTATAGAGTCACCTCTTAGAGGATACAAAACTTAGATATATTTGTGTGTACTCTCACTTTACCATTATTCAATTATTCTGATATGGTATCACGCGTAGGTAGGATCCCCCCCCCCCACCTACCGCTTCCGCTCATGCCCCCTAGCGCCCCTCCTGGGCCCCGTCGCGCTCCTCCCAGGCCCCGTCGCGCTCCTCCCAGGCCCCCTAGCGCCCCTCCTGGGCCCCATCGCGCTCCTCCCAGGCCCCGTAGCGCCCCTCCTGGGCTTCGTAGCGCCCCTGCCAGGCCCCGTCGCGCCCCTCCTGGGCTTCGTAGCGCCCCTGCCAGGCCCCGTCGCGCCCCTCCCAGGCCCCGTCGCGCTCCTCCCAGGCCCACTAGCGCCCCTCCTGGGCCCCGTCGCGCTCCTCCCAGGTCCCGTAGCGCCCCGTCGCGCCCCTCCTGGGCCCCGTAGCGCCCCTCCTGGGCCTCGTCGCGCCCCTCCTGGGCTTCGTAGCGCCCCTCCTGGGCCCTGTAACGCCCTCCCAGGCCCCGTCGCGCACCTCCCAGGCCCCGTCGCGCTCCTCCCAGGCCCCCTAGCGCCCCTCCTGGGCCCCGTCGCGCTCCTCCCAGGCCTCGTAGCGCCCCTCCTGGGCTCTTTCGCGCCCCTCCTGGGCTCCGTAGCGCCCCTCCTGGGCCCCGTCGCGCCCCTCCTGGGCCCCGTAGCGCCCCTCCTGGGCCCCGTCGCGCCCTCCTTGGGCCCTGTAGCGCCCCTCCTGGGCCCCGTCGCGCCCCTCCCAGGCCCCGTAGCGCCCCTCCTGGGCCTCGTCGCGCCCCTCCTGGGCTTCGTAGCGCCTCTCCTGGGCCCCCCGTCGTGCCCCTCCTGGGCCCCGTAGCGCCCCTCCTCGGCCGCATCGTACCCGTCGCCGCCGCCCGGCCCCGTAGTGCCCGCCCGGCGCCGTCGCGCCCGCCCGACCCCTTCGCCGCCGCCCGGCCCCGTCGCGCCCGCCCGGCGCCGTCGCCGCCGCCCAGCCCCGTCGCGCCCGCCCGGCGCCGTCGCACCCTGCCCGGCCCGTCGCGCTCGCCCGGCCCCGTCGCAGCCGCCCGGCCCCGTCGCACCCGCCCGGCCCCGTCGCACCCTGCCCGGCCCCGTCACAGCCGCCCGGCCCCCTCGCACCAGCCCGGCCGCCGTCCCGCACGCCCGGCCCCGTCGCACCGGCCCGGCCCTGCCGCACTCGCCCGGCCCCGTCGCCCCAGCCCGGCCCCGTCGCCCCGTCCCGGCCCTGTCGCATCAGCCCGGCCCCGTCGCGCCCGCCCGGCCCCGTCGGGCCAGCCCCGGCCCCGTCCTCCTCACTGGTACGGTTCCCCCCCCCCCCCCCCCCCCCACCCCGCCCTGCTCCGTGCCGCCCTGCACCGCACGGCACCGCACTGCACCGCACTGTACCGCACTGCACCGCACTGCACCGCACTGTACCGCACAGTACCGCACTGCACCGCACTGCACCGCACTGTATCGCACTGCACCGCACCCCACCTAGCTGCACCGCCCTGCACAGCACTGGACTGTTCCTGATGGCGGCGGAGCTTCGCTTCGACGCTGAAGGTCAGCCCCTAGAGTTCGAGGCGTGGCTTGCCGACCTCCGCCGCCAACTCACTGGCCAGCGGCAGGATGGTGAACCGCTTTCCGCACACCTTGACGGTACGCTCCCCTGCCCAGACCCTCCTGCTATTCTGCCCGCTGACCCCACACCCACTGAGCGTGAGTCTACTGCTGCCACTGCCCGTGCGCGCTCTGTCTGGCTTTCTCGCGATGCTGTCGCCCAGCTTGCCATTAGCAACGCCCTCCCCCCGTCCGAGCGTCCTCGCTTTAGGTCCCTAACTACTGCTCAGGCATACTTAGATGCTGTCATCAAGCGCTATTCCACCCCTCCGGCTGCCTCGGTGGGTCGCCTGATCCTCCCGCTGCTCTTTCCTGACCTTGCTTCGTTCCCCACTGTCTCTGACCTCGCTGCCCACCTGCGCTCGATAGATGAGACCTGGCGCGCCGCATGCACTGACGCACAGCTTAGAGCCCACCAGCCGCCCATTACCTCTACCCTCTACCTGCTTGCCACCCGCCTCCCTGACCGCCTTGCTGTCGCCCGCGACCGCTTCCTTAGTGTTCACCCCGCAGACCTCACCCTCACTGACTTTGTCGACACCCTGACTGTGATAGAGACCCGTCACCGCTCCATCGCCCAGGCGAGCGGTGTCGTGCCGGTCCCTATCTTTCAGGGTTGTGCCCCCGCTCAGTGTACCTTCTCCGACGGCTCTGCCGCAGTGGCTGAGACAGCTGCTGCAGCGCAGGCCCGTTCTGGGAAGGGCCGCCGCCCCAAGGCTGGGCGCGGCGGAGGGGGCGGCGGGGGTGCGGGCGGGGGTAGTGGTGGGGTCGGGTCGCCTGGTGCTGGAGCGGACGAGGGGACCCTGCCCAGTCTAGCTGAGTCGCCGCCCCTGCAGTTGCAGCAGCCGCAGCAGCCGCCGCAGTCGCAGCCTTTGCAGCAGCCGCAGCAGCCGTCGCAGACGCGGCAGACGAGTGTTCTCCCGCCAGGGTGGCCCGGCGCTGGCGGTGGACGGGCGCGTGGTGGTGTGCCGCGTGGTGGCTCTGCCGGCGGGCGTTGTCAGTACCAGATCCAGACCGGTCCTCGCCGCGGTTTCGTTTGCGGTAAGATCGGTCACTCCACTCCCCGCTGCTTTCGTCGCCTGGACGACCTCTTTCGTCAGCGTTTCGGCCCGTAGCCAGACCTCCCGGACTGGCACAGTTTGCTTAGTCGTCAGATTCAGATCTTTGATATGGACATGGATGCCATTGTTTCTGCTCTGCATGTGATGTATGCTGATGACTCTAGTGTGCTTCCGACTTATTACTCACTGTTGCCTAGTGTGGGTGTGCCTAGCTTAGCCTCCCCTGCTGCGTCAAGCGTAGGATCCCCTGCTTTGTGTAGTCTTGGTGCTTCTGCCGTCGTTCCGTCGCCAGACCCCTCGGCTTCGCTTTCCTTCACCTTGGACTCTGGCGCCTCTCGGTGTTTCTTCCGCGACTCCACCACCCTGACGCCGCTTCCTGTTCCTGCTGCCGTTTCTCTTGCTGACCCCTCCGGCGGCCCGGTAGTCGCCCGCAGTTCCACCACCCTTCCCTGTCCGGCGGTTCCTTCGGGCTCTCTTACAGGTCTGCATATCCCCTCGTTCTCCAGGAACCTAGTTGGTGTCGGCTGCCTCCAGGACCTTGGCGTCACCACTACGTTCCCTGGTCACGAGCGGTATGCTGTCTGTACCGAGGCCGCCACTGGTGCCCCCCTGTCCACGTTCCCCCGGGACCCGGTGTCCGGCCTGTTCACTCTGGACACCGTGCCCCCCCCGGCTGGAGCGCCCCCTCAGGTGGCTGTGTCTACCCAGGTTGCTGCTGCCTGCTCCTGTCGCTCCCTCACTCACCCGACCCTCCTGTGGCACCACCGCCTAGGTCACCCTGCGCTCCCGCGTCTGCGTCACATGTCCCAGCACGGTCTTGTCCTTGGTCTCCCAGGTTCACTCCCCGCGTTTCCCTCCTCCCCAGCTCCACCTTGCACGCCTTGTGTCGAGGGTCGGCTTCGCCGTGCCCCTCACTCCTCCTCGTTCCCCCCTACCGCCGCGCCGCTGCAGACCCTGCACCTGGACGTCTGGGGCCCCGCCCCCGTCCCTGGGCCGCGTCGCGAGCGCTACTTCCTTGTGCTTGTCGACGACTTCACTCGTTACACCACAGTCTTTCCCCTGGAGCGCAAGGCCGACGTGCCTGGCGCCCTCATCCCCTGGCTTGTCTCTGCGCGTGTCCACCGCGGTCTCCCTGTCTTGCGTCTTCACTCAGACCGTGGTGGCGAGTTTGCCTCAGGTGTCCTTGGTCGCTTTTGTCGTGCGGAGGGCATCACCCAGACGTTCACCCTACCGGACTCCCCACAGCAGAATGGGGTCACTGAGCGACGCCTCGGCTTGGTCATGGAGGTCGCTCGCACCTCCATGGTCCATGCCGGTGCACCCCATTTTCTGTGGCCGTTCGCTGTGCGCTACGCTTCTCACCAGCTTAACCTGTGGCCGCACCCTCAGCAGCCGCAGGTTTCGCCGACCCGTCTGTGGACTGGGTCTCCTGGTGACGCGTCTGCGTTCCACGTCTGGGGCTGCCTTGCTCACGTCCGTGCCTCCGGCACGGACAAGCTCACTGCCCGCACCCTTCCCTGCGTCTTCCTCGGTTTTCCCCTTGACGCGTCCGACTGGCACTTTTACCACCCGCCGTCTCACCGCTTCTTTCACTCTCGTGACGTCACCTTTGACGAGTCCGTCTCCTACTACCGCCGCTTCCCCCACCGTGGTCCCCCGGTTACCCCCCCCTGTTCCTGGTCACCCCTTCCCCGATAGTCCCTGCCCCTCCTCCTCCTCCTCCCCGTCCCGCCCCCTCTGGTGTCTCCCATGTCACCCCCCTTCCGTCCGTGGACCCGGTTGAGGAGTCTTCTGACTCTGGTGGCCCTCCGGTGCAGTCCTCGCCGGCCGCCCCTCCCCAGGTGTCCCCTCCCCAGTCCCCTCCTCCGCCGTCCCTGCCGCCACTGCAGCCGTCGCCGTCGCCGCCACCGCCGCCGCCGCCGCAGTCGCAGCCCCCGTTCGCTGACTCTGGGGGTGCTCGTCCCGGTCGCCCTGAGGGTGGTCCCTCTGGGGGTGCGGGTGTGGGTTGCCTCATGTACCTGATGACTTGCACTCGCCCAGATCTCGCATACCCTCTCAGCATCCTGGCTCGCTTTGTGGCCAC